AAGGTGGATGACCAGAAAACTTAAACATGACATAGGAATAAAGAAAGGAATATATAAGGAATTAAAGGGAGGGGAGGAGCAGCTCAGAAATAGGTATAATGAACTATCTAGGAATGTTAAGAAAAATGTAAGGAAAGCAAAGAGACTGAAATCAGAATAGCAAGAGAATCCAAGGCGAATCCCAAGGGATTTTTCCAGGTATATAGGACAAAGGTCAAGGACAAAGTTGGGCCTTTAAAGTCAGGGAGAAGTGATAAATGGCAGTGAAGAAATAGCAAAGCATTGAACAGCTACTTCTTATCAGTTTTCACAGAAGAAATTTGCGATGGAATTCCAGAGGTGGAACCGATATTTAAGGGAAAGGAAGAAGAGAAATTAAAGAATATCAAATCAGAAAAGAGGATGTTCTTAAGATAAATAAACTAAAGAAAACAAAATCCCCAGATTAGCAGACCCCTCGTAAACTTGTTTACAAAATCATTAAGACACCAGAGTTGTGCCAGACTTGTGGAACAGGCAAATGTAGTACCCATATTCAAAAAGGGAGACAGAGCATCAGCGTCAAATTACTGGCTGATCAGTTTGACGTCAGTAGTGGGGAAATTTCTTGAATCAATTATAGCAGATAGCTTCCAATCAAAAGCAAATTAATCTACGACTCAACATGGGTTTGCAAAGGGAAAATCTTGTCTAACAAATCTGCTGACGTTTTTTAGGAAAGTCTTCGAGGTAGTAGATAATGACTAAAATTACGATGTTATTTACTTAGACTTTAGCAAAGCATTTGACAGAGTACCGCATCAGAGGCTTCTGAGAAAAATTAAGGCTCATGGTATCGAGGGGAAAGTTTTAAATTGGATAAAATCATGGCTCACCGATAGAACGCAGAGGGTCAGCGTAGATGGTGTTAAATCTGAGCGGGGCAGTGTAACCAGTGGGGTTCCCCAGGGGTCAGTACTGGGCCCACTCTTGTTCATAATCTACATAAACAATCTAGATACTGGGATCAGCAGTGACATAAGCAAGTTTGCGGATGACACCAAAATAGGGCGGCAGATTAATTCAGGGCAGGATGCAAATGCATTACAGGAGGATTTAAATAAACTGCAGGGGTGGTCTGAAAAATGGCAAATGAAATTCAACACCAGCAAGTGCAGCGTACTTAATATTGGAAGAACAAATACTGATATTGTATACAGCCTTAACAACATCAACCTAGAGAAGTCAACTTGTAAAGAGACCTAGGGGTACTTGTAAGCCCGGACCTACGGCCTAGAAAACAGTGTGTTAATGTTCGAAATAAGGCAAACAGAGTATTGGGTTTTATATCTAGAAGTGTAAGTAACAAGAGTGCAGAGGTCTTATTGCAACTATATCTTGCGCTAGTCAGGCCGCACCTCGATTATGCGGTTCAGTTCTGGTGCCCCTATTATAGAATGGATATAAATTCACTAGTCGGTGCAGCGAAGAATGACAAAAATGATTCCGGGACTTAGAAACCTTCCATATCAGGATAGGTTAAAGAAACTTAACTTGCATTCCCTAGAAAGACGAAGAGTGCGGGGAGATATGATAGAAGTATTTAAGTGGGTGAAAGGAATCAATAAAGGGGACATAAAGTTCTTATAATATCCGAGCAGGATAGGACTCGGAGCAACGGATTCAAGTTGGATAAGTTTAGGTTTAGGAGGGAGATAGGAAGAAACTGGTTCACAAATAGGGTGGTGGACTAGTTGAACAAGCTTAGCAACTTTGTAGTAAGTGCGGGAACTCTGGGAAGTTTCAAAAGGAGGCTAGATAGATTCATGGATGATAGAGAGTGGTAGTAACTCTCGACAGGAGCTGCCATACACAGGCCAACCGCCCTATTGCAGACACCTTATGTTCTTAATACTGCTACCCTCTTGCCTTCCTATTCACTTGTTCCCTTACACTACTGCAGTTCAAGGACAGCACTAGTAAAGAGCTCCCACTTGCACATGATCATACTCCAATCTCAATTAATGTCCAAGGATTCTTATCAGATACAAGTATTTGTTTTAATGCTGTGAATTCATATCCAGTAAGGGGGCAAGGAAAGGGTGAATTTGAAAATCACTGAAGTAGACCACTAGAGCTCACAAGTCATTAGGGTAAGGTTTTGTGGTATGGATAGACATGCATCATCTATAGTGGACCTCAAAATAAAGATCATGATTATAGTATGATTTCTCCCCCAAAATATCGATCACTTTACATAAGGTAAGGTAAACACTAGCTAATTGGGAGTAGCACCACGTATTCAATCCTAAATACATTGCAGTATCAAATGTTTTGACAATTAGGAGAACGGATAACCAAGTTTACGACTGTTGCTTGTTTCCAGTAATTGTATTGAATTAATACAGTACAGATAACGCTTCTAAACCCGAAATGCTTGGGATCAGCGCCATTTTGGATAACTGAAATTTTTGGTAAACTGAAGTTCATTATAAGAAACCCTAATATTTCATTGAATACTTTATCTTGGGTACTTAACGAGTGGTACCTGCAGTTTCCTTCCTGATTAAAGTGTGCTCCAGTACTTGAAGACTTACAGTAGTTGGGCTTTAGTGAAGTCAAAGTACATGCTCAGTGAACTTAGCTGTTTGCTTACATCTGCAGTCAGCTGTGTTACAATGCTATGCTCGGCGAACTAGTGTTAAGTGCTGTAAATTTAAGTTAGAAGTGTTTTTTGTTTATTTTTTTACAATATACAGTATTATCTTTGAAGTTTTTGGATAACTGGTGTTCATATTTTTTTAATACAACCTGTACTATGCAGGATCTCTTAGTAGGTGATTAGTCACATATTTCACAGTGCAGGTGGGCAGTGGCGGTACCAAAAAAGAAGTTGAGATGCAATGAAAATCTACTTGTCTGGTAAAGTTATAGATAGTAGTAACAAAGAAGATAAGCTTGGTAAATTTAAAGTTTTTGAATAGATACAGTTCAGTATGTATAACCTTTACCAACATTCATTAGCGCAAATACCATCCACTTCCACCTCAGTTGCCCAGGAGTCTACCACTTTTAGTGCTTTTTTTTGCTCGGTGAAGTACTGTACCTGACTGATCGCTTCTTATTACGCTTGAGATAACCATGCAAAAGTTCTTTTTGCTTATGGTAGCATTTATTGCTCAACTGTGATCTGCCTTGTAATTAATCTTTGTTTACTGTGAATTGGTCAGAGTTGCACATACAGTCAGATCTCAGAGTATAGAATATATAAACTGAAAATGTAAAGAATGGTGTGTAAAAGTCTTGCATTTATATTTGTTGCTGTCTCTTATGCAAAAAAAAATCCTATTGTAATTTTATCTTGTCACTAGAAGAGACATTACCTGTATTAAATTAAGGTTTAATGATACTCCTGTTGTCACACAGTAAAAAGTCTTGCCTCTAATGTGCTTAAATTGCCAAGTCCCCAGTATCTCCAGTAGACCTTCAAGTCTGTTAATGAGTTGGGTAATGGCAGAGGCTTGTTCTTTACCTCGGTTTGTGACGGTTCCTCAGAAGTTAGCTACCTGGTGATATAATTTTAAATAGTTATTTACACTACTTTGTGGTATTTTATGGTGAAATTTAGATATAATCTCTAGTTTGTTAGATGAGGGTTTCATATCTAGTCACTTGTAGATCAAGGAAGGGCATGTGACTTGTTTAGATGTAGTGACGGACAGTTTTCAGACTGTCTGTCACTTATAGATGTAACCTCTCCAAATAGAGGAGCAAAATCGACTACAGTAAATGGTGGTTTGGTCCTCGGTAGGTCAAGTGTCACTAATGATGTACTGTATATGTAGTTGATACCCTGATCACTTTTGACTGCATCAATGATTCCTGTTCATAAATTAATCAAATTTTGGTCGTTTACTACAACATGTAAATTTTATGCTCACAAAGTGCAAAGTTGTGATAATTGTGTAGGTGAATTACTTAACATTTGCCAGAGAGAATTTGGATTAAAGTTCTAGTACAGATTAAAGCATTCTGTGAGACTTAACAGGTACAGCAACTGAGCTGTTTGTAGTGCACGAGACCTACTCAGGTTATTTTAAGGTGTTTCAGAACATGGGTAGAGGGTGGGGATGGGGGTGGGGTACATGTGACAAGACCTTGAGTTTGTGGTGTGGGTATTAACCTTGGCACCCCTCTCTTGCACTGTTGCTTTTTGAACTTTGAGCTATGTAGTAAGGTATAGGTTGGGGGTACAATATTATGCTGTACTTGATGTTTTAAGGATTGGGGTAGTAGGGTTTGAAATTTTATATACTGTACAGTATATAGAGGATGTTTAAATGAATAGATATAGAATGGGTGTTCTTGCTCGACATATATTCCAACAGTCTAGAGTCTATTGGAAATATTATAGGCGTCTTTGTGTTTTTGTAGTGTATTTACCTTATAATTTATGGATGACTTCTTAGTTTATAAGGGGGGGGGGTCGTGTCTTTACCGGTACTACTGCATTTATCCCCATTCACGTGTTCATTTATTGGTACATTACTTTGCAATCATTATAATTACTGTACAGTATGAATGGTAGTAGTCCCAGGTTTTACTTGATGTACTGTATTGGTATGCAGGCCTATAGTAGTACTGTATAAATATATAGTACATCAATCATGTTAATGTTTAGATTAGAGATCCTGTACAGTATTTTATGTTCTCCACATCAACATTATCTGGAAAATATTCTAAATAAATTCAAGTTAGATTTTTTCTACAATTCACATTTTAATATTGTCAAGTAACTACTTGGGTCAAAGTCATGCTGGTGCCTACTTCTCCCATTATACCAGTATGTTAGTTTAGTTCACGTGACCAGAAAAAATGTACTGTGTGCCTGCAGGTTTGTTGTGTGAACAGTAAATACAGTAACAATTTCTGGGATGATTACAGTGTAGCACTATTGTGTTGACTTAATTGAGGGTTCTATTAGTTGTATACTGTAACTAATGTACTTTTTTCTCCCACAGGCATCTGGAGTGAAAGTATCGGATGAAATCCACAAAGCATATACAGATATCAAAAAGAGCAAGAAGTATAGGTACATAATTTTCCACATAAAGGATGATAAGGAAATCTGCATCGAAACAGTAAGTTTTGCCAATTTATTTTGTGCATCTGGTGTCTTTGTGCAATTGAGAAGTAGCTAGTGTACTGTACAAGTATAAAGATGTGAGTGTTATTCTCTGCTAACTACAGATGTTCATATATGGAGTGAAAATTGTTGGGTTGGTGTTAGATATTTTGTTACTGTACAGTTTGAAGATAGATTGGTGATAAGTTACAGGGAAGGGCGAGTTAAGGCTAGCAGTGGGGTCCTCTTAGTCAATTTTATCAAAATGAGTAGTTTTGTACACAAAGGCTAATGTATAAGTTTTCCCTCACAATTGTAGATTCTATGCTTGTAGGTTTGTTCACCTATTCCACCCCATTTAGAGTAGATTATAATTGATATTCTAACATGTACTAAATGGATTTATAGTATGATGGGTACCAGTTAGTAAAAAATTATGCATGTGTAATTGGTCTATAAATTTTACATTCAACAAAGATGTGCTAGGTTCTTACATGAAAAGATATAGTATGGTATAACTTGTTTCAGTACGGTGATAGAGATGCTGCGTATGATGACTACCTACAGCATCTGAGTAATGTGGGACCTGATCAGTGTCGTTATGGTCTTTATGACTTTGAGTATGAGCACGCATGCCAGGGAACCTCAGATGTAAGTGTTTGGTTTGTCATTTTCTCTAAAAAAAATTAAATAATAATTTTTATTTTTATTTGTAAGTAGAAAATTATGAGAAAGCTTCGAGGGGATTTTTCCCCAATGTGTTGAGACCTGTAACGATCACATTAAGTTTGAACCCTCAATCCTCACTATTGTGTTATGCAGCATAACTTGTAGCTACCAAGAATGGTCTTTATTCATATAATTTGCTGTATTCCACCTAGCATTAACCAAGAGCAGTTTGCCTGCTAAAGGAGTTTTGTTTGCATACAGTAGCACTATACTTGTGCTCCTTTCCATCACTCACCATCTATAAAAAATTATTGTAGCTTGTTCTTTAAGTGTCAGCCTCCCTCTTTTATCACCCCCTTGATATATACAGTATAATGCTCATGTGACCTTCACTTATCTAATTTCCTCACTGCCTGTTGTTTTACTAGTATGTGGAACCTTGGCTACACCCAAGAGCATTCTTTTGCTGTTCCCATTCAACCCCTCCTTTTCACCTGCTTACAGGTTGTACCTTGTCTGTTACTGTCACTTCTTAGAATATTCCAGCTGCATTCATTTTCCATAGCTTTATCAATTTCTTCATTATTCTATCCACCAATGCAACTTATCTAAATTTTGTATGAATATTTAGTGGCTATTGATGAAATAACATCTGCCCCTTTTCAGACAAAGAAGCAAAAGCTGTTTTTGATGTCTTGGTGCCCAGACACTGCCAAGATAAAGAAGAAGATGCTTTACTCCTCCAGTTTTGATGCCCTCAAACATGCTTTGGAAGGTGTTGGCAAATATATCCAGGTAAGTTATAGGTTTGATGTTTGTAGGAAGGACATTTATGGTAGAGCTGGGAGGTCTTAACAGAAAAGGGCAGAAATTGTAGGTATAATGAATGATGGCTGCTGGTTAATGTGTGGATCAAATTAAAAGTTCAGAATTTCTGTAGAGCTTCACTAGAATAGTCCTGACTGCCTGTTGGAGGAAGAAAGGTGAGAGGACTGTAAGAGGGACAGGTTATACAAGTGAATTAGAGAGGTATAAATGTCTCCCCATCTACTGTGGCCAGTGAGCACAAAGTAATACAATTATTTTAATTAAAGTTGTAGGACGAGTAATGAAAATTGCATAGCTGTTTTAAGCCCAGAATAAAAATATGATTTGAACAGAGTAGGCCGTTTTAAAATTAAAATTTCCTTATAATATTTTTACATAGACAACCCACATAACAAGGGATAGGTTTATCTTAATTCTTCTAGATGGTTTAAACAGCATTTACTCTTAAATTATGGGCGTTTCACTGGGTTTTACAGTTTATTCCATTTGGACCAACTCAACTTCCTCAAACACTGTTGCATGTGCCCACCTTATTGTAATAATTCCTTTCAAATCATGAGGTGTATTTTGAAGCTCCCTTTAGCCATAAATTTTACTTAAGACACTGAGCTATTGGTCTTAAGTTCATTCTAACCAGTCCACTATCTATGTATAGTTTAATTTATTCATTGTTTTCAGGCTACGGACATGGCTGAAGCATCATACGAGTGTGTGTTGGAAAAATGCCGCTCTACAGACCGTTCCTAAGCTTGCGATGGGAGGCCCCTCACTAAGCAGCCCTTGTCCTGTGTTTTGTCACCCAACACCCCAGTGTAACACTGGATTCAGTTCTGGCCAACCCCACTGCACTGTGAGGGGCCCTTCAGCACCACCCGCACAGCGGTCAATGCTGCCCCTAGTCATGCCCGGGCCGCAACTGTTACTATGCTACCCATGCAGCATCAGGGGACTCATTGTTTTATACTTGTGATTATATTATTTTGATTATAATTCAATTGGTTGGTGTGTAGGTGGGTGGCAGTAGTTGTGCACTGGTTCAAGCTCTGGCTTTTTATAACCGGTCACACTCCTTGTTACCCCATACGAAGAGGCATTGGCATGTTCGACGGATCAATCGTGTGAATGTGAAACAATCCACTAGTGCCATCCAGAGTCTGTATGTGCAGGAATTAAAGCTATCTGCAGTCTCGGAGGCAGTCAGCACATGGTAAGTAGCTAAATTGTGGTCTTGCACGAAGGTTTGCTCCGATATCATTTAGACCAACCTGGTTGCTTGCCCACAATGCTGCCTTCATTGATGAACTAACTGCCTCTTGAACACTCGTACCAGTGTCATCCACTGCCACGTGTTGGCCGAGGCAAGTTTAGTATTACATGAAGCTCTTCCATTTGTATGTTATGTCATTACATAAATGTGAAAATGTCAATCTGCTACTTCCGATTTTCATTAATTATGATAAGCTTTATATATAACGGAACCATATTAATAGGCATTGCCAACATTGGCTCAAAGTACCTTTTTTTTGTAATTGAATCTGCTCAAAATCTTTTGTTGCATCAGCTGTTGCAATTATGGAAAGCAATTTACCATTACTTAAAGGGTTTTGTATGATTTAATTGTAGGATATGTCAACTTGTCTAAGAATAAATTTCTTTTTAATGCCTGGTAATTTTTTTGTATCCTTATAAATTAAGATATTCACTCCATGGCCTGTCCTTCAGTTTAATCATGTATATTGAGCCATTATTAGAACACCCATTTTCAGTGGTACAGTACATACTGGAGAAAAACTTTATCCAGTTTCTAGAATAAAACTGATGCATTCTTTAACAAGAGAGGATGTTCTGTACACAACTGGCTTAAGTCGCACTTATCAGTTGGGAAAAACAGGATGGGAGGGACCAGATCTTATCACTCCACTGTCGCATTTGAAACCTTTCTATTCTACTGGGAGTTGGGAACAATGACATACCAATGGTTTCTAATAATAAACTACAAATGGAATGGTATGGTAAGATCTTGGACCATTGCAGTAATTGGTTTCTTATCCTCCTTGTGACTGATCACAGTAGATATTTAATTTTGAAACCAGTTAACTCTTTTGAAGAGTTAAACAATGGATGGTTCAGGTTCATTCCAAACCATGGGCTTAAAAAGGTCACTAACTACCAAGGTGTATGCAATCTCTTGTGTTATTTGGGGGAGTATTGATGTATTCATTTGTTTTGATTTTTGTTTAATTTTGGTCAATATTTAGCCAAGTGCAGTTTATTTTACGTTCATATCCAGAAATATACTTGAGAACATAACCCTTAATTAGAACACTAATTTCTAAATTTGACTTGTTAAAAAAAATGAAAGCATTAAAAAATTTTTATAGTATAGTTGTCGGGTAACAGCTATTGGAAAAACAAAATAAATCTAAAGGACAGCAGAGGTAAAAAGACTTGGGTTTACTGCTGTCAGTGAAATATAGAAGACAAATGAGTGTAAGGTGACTGAGGAAAAAAATATTTTTATGTGAGGGATGAATGATATTTCTTTTGGAAAACTGTATGATTTAACTTCTTGGAAGACAATGTATTGAATATCGAGTAGAGGAGCCTAGTGAATAAGGGAACATTTTAGAAAGCGGTACTGGTTGGAAAAGCTGTAGTGGAGCAGGTATTGGAACAAGTAAACCTGCAGTTGAGAAGTAAAAAATAATTTTTAAAATATTAAGGCGGAGAAATAATGGCTGGGTTGACTGAATGGATATGGAAAGTGTTTCCTTGGGTAGTGTGCATATCAGATGGTGGCTATTATCTTTTATAATGGCAAAGGAAGTTAACTTCAATATGATGATTTTTGTAGTAAGATTCTTAATGACAAGCAGAATATTGTATGATATAAAAGCTTCACAGAACCACACACTTCATAAGGAATTGGGAGGTTTTCTGAAATGTACTGATAAAGGGAAGTGATAAACCGTATATATTGTTATAATTTATGACTTTACAAAAAGCATATGAGGCATTCATTAATGCAAAAGTGAACACACTAAAACCTATTTTAAAGTTTGCACGTCTTCAAAACTTCATTGAACCTCCAAAACTTAATCAATTCTGTTCAATGTCTTGTTTTAAAGGTGATTTAATGCAGAATATGATTCTTGTAATAAATGAAGTGCCGTGTACAGTATGACTTTGGTACACATTGATGTCAAATAATGAAATGGTGTGGTATTAACATTCATGAAAACAATGAAGTTCTGTACACAAATTTATATTGTAATAAAGTAAAAAATAATGGTAACACTCACTAGATGATGATTATGCTCTGCTAAAGAACTTGGTAGGGGGTAAGTGGCTAGTAGTCCATCTGATCGTCATCACATGATGCATAATTGTCCTCTGGTACGCTGAAAACAAGGTAGCGGGCTTCTCATTGGTCGGCAAGCTCCTTCCTGACATGCTGATTTCCTCTGAGTAAGGCAAGCTGTGATTGGTTGCTGGGCCACTGGCGAGTTTTACTTTGCTCTCGTCAGACACTGGAATTACCACAGGTAGCACAGAGATGCCGGGAGTTTTTCGCCATATAATCAACGGGATTTTGCAGGTAAACCAAAAGCAAACTCGTCATACTATTTTGTGTCAATGAAACTTTCTGAAATGAATGGTACAAAAACCGAATTTTTTGCTAGGGTGGTGAGTTCACCCTTGCATTAATTAATGCCTCCTATATACTGTACATTGGAGGGTGATTGGTAGTGGAGAGTGTCAGGAGGCAACATAGATGAGTAACACGATGTACAAAAGTGGATCTACCAGCCAGCAATTGTCCAGCACATACTATGCCCAATTCTTAATTATTTGCAGTAATCGTACATTCTGGAATGTAGATATAAATGATACAATACACAGTAGCTTTTCGGAGATCATTAACAACAAGGTATTAATTTCGGATATTTTTATTTTTGTGAAGTTCATTACAACGTATAAATAAACAGTTTGGGTCTTATCTACAGCATTTCTATTGAAGTGAAAGTTCCATCAAAAGAATTTACCCATCTAAAAAGTCCAAATGACGAATACAATCAATGCTTCATCTAGCTCTGGATAAGAGAGGTTGCTTATATCTGCCTTACTTGGTCATGTTTACACCTATGGCAAGAAAAATAAGGTTCTGAAGAGCATTTACTGTACTGTACATGTTTATGCACCTAGTTAATTTCAATTCTTGACACATGGCCAGAGTGCAAGAACTACGGCAGAACACGACCCAAAATTTGCTTTCTTGTAGTATTTCGGATCACCTGACTAACTGGACTACAAAAGTGTGTTTTGATTTCCTTGATGTTTAAATACATTCAAGAAAAATAAAATTTTCCCTAATGGAGTTGTTAAGTCGTGTTCCCATTAACTGCTTTTGCTATTTTGAAAACTCAATTTACAATAAAATGGGTGCTCAGTGGGGACCATCTCACTTATGTATCTCTGAGAACACAAGTTCACCACAGTATACAAGAAAAGCTAAAGCTGCATCACCTTCAGACCCGTGATAAGTTAAAAAAAAAAAAAAAAATACAAGGGCTACACTGTAACATGATAATGTTATTAAATAATAATGGCTACACTACATTAGTTCCTCTAGCTCATAGAGTGAAACTGCATAAAAGGTATTAAATAGATGCACTAGTGAAAATTGTCAGACAATACATAAGAATTGGACATATTACTCCTCTCACAGGCCGATGCCATACAAGTAGGTTCTGTTGTTGCTTGATTAAGTATTTTGAAATGAACACCATCACTCCTCCCACTTTCTGACACTTGCCAATGGACAAGTAGTGGGTCGAGTTAATTCAAACTCGGCCCTATGAGATAAAATTATTCATAACATAATAATTTAACGTTTCCCATAAAATATATTTATTCCACTTGTTTTTGAGGTAGTAAAAGAGGAATACAGTCGGCCCTTAACATACGCGGGTTTAGCATACACGGATTTGCAAATACGCGGATTGCCCCGCCGGAGGAATATTCTGTACATTGAAGTACATTCAAATCGCGCGCCATTCAACTCGAACACGGGACACCGCCCGCTCCCGCAACCTCACACACACACACACACGCATAGCTCTCCCTCACTCAGTCAGTCTCGCTGTAACCACGCTTGTGTTGACATCAGCATTGTAGTTGCAAAAATATTACATTTCCGTGAATGTAATATTTTGCTGAAATGACGTACGTATTACAGTGGAAAGTGACGAAAGCAATGACTTTCGCTTTCTTTCGTTCAAAAGATGTTACCATAATCCCTTTTCGAATGGTTTTCAGTTAAAAAACTGTTGTATTACAATAATATTCTATCCTAATTCACTTGTGATGCAACAGTTTTTTTAACTGAAAACCATTCGAAAAGCGATTACGGTAACATCTTTTGAACGAAAGAAAGCGAAAGTCATTGTTTTCGTCACGATTTTATCCCACTTTCCACTGTAATACGTACGTCATTTCGGCAAAAATATTACATTTCTGTGAATGTAGTATATCAAGCACAGTATGAATAGAATATCATTGTAATACAACAGTATTTTAACCGAAAACTATTAAAAAATGAGTAACATCTCTTGAACATCGGAAGGTTAGGTAAAGTTTTTTGTTTTCGTCGTGTATTTTATCCTATTTTACATTGAAATACATCACGTTTCAGCAAAACTACTATTTATTTCTGAGAATATATTCATTCAGGCACAGTTTAGGTAAAATATACATGTGCCGTAACATTTTTTTAATTGAAAGCGATTCGAAAAACACGTACCCTCTAGCCCTGTTCAAGGAGAAGACAGGGAGGAGCTGTTTGGTACTTAAGACGATGACAAGGAAAATGATTTTGATGAATTTTAATGAAAATATTCAGAAAGACCCTGGCACTGTCAAGGAAAGTGGCTGCTGAAGGCTTCCAGGACATGGCAGAGGAAGAGATTAGGGAGCTAATTGAAATACACGACACTGAGCTGACCGAGGGGGATCTACAGGAGTTAGTAGACTCAGGCAAGGAAGAGGAAGGGAAAGAGGATGTGGAAGAGGAAGAGCACCAAGAAATAACATTAGAGAAGTTGGGGGAGATGACCAGGAATATTGAGGCACTGAAAAACCTGGCCTATAGTATGGACCCCTCCATGGTGCGTGACCTGAAATTCATGCGAGGGATGGATGACGTTTTTGCTCCATACAAAAACATCATGGAAGAAATGAAAAGAAAGAGACGACAACTCCCCATCACCATGTTCTTTGATCACCGAAGGAGAGATTTAACACCATCAATCACTGGCGGCAGTGAGGAAGCAGCTGAATCCCACTTCACCACCCGTTATGGAATTGAGTGACAATGAGCCCGATGACCCCCGTCCTGTCGTCGAGGATATGTACGGTACAGTAAAGTGAAATTTTTATCTCTTTTTTTTAATAGCTTTTGTTGCCATGTTTATTGTTTGTAAAAATGCACAGCACAGTACAGTTCAGTACTGTACATAGGGAGTGGAGGTGCAGTTGTCATGATCGTGATGACGGCTAACCTGAAAACCTTAAGGATACAGTACATATTACGCTCAAACGTCCACAAAACCTTCCGAGTCCCCCAGTGGAAACGTCCCCCGTTTTCTCTGTTTCCTTGATGACGTCATCGATAGGCTGTCTTTGTCTGAAGGGAACTTTGAATATAATCCGCGGATTTCGTAGCAAGACGCTGTATGTTGGGACCTGTTGCCATCCAACCCCTTGTAAGCAATTTAATTTTGCTTTTGATAGCTCAGCCAGAGGATAATAGTAGGGAATGAAACGGAGTTCACAGTCTCAGTTTCAACGTCAGAGTGTACAGTAAATTAATTCATCGAAATAGAAGTAGGTGGACTCCCTGACCTATTTTGAGTGAGGGTGCCGCAGGCATTTCATCCGTTAGTAAGTGCTCGCCCCTTCACCCATACAGGAAGGCCATTCCACTCTGTGTTGTAATTCGCCCTTCTTTAAGTGATTTGACCCAATTAATAGTTGATTGTGCAAGTGTTACAGTAACGTAGTTGATATACTCTGAGTGAAGTAATGTTTATGTCTTTAACGTCCCTGAAACGTGATGTCGTTGTCACAGTTAGTAAGTGCTCGCCCCTTCACCCATACAGGTCCCTAACGCAGCCTAGGCCGTGTCAGTAGAGTGGATGTTGTATCCACTATGTCTGGGGAGATGTCCGAGGTCCAGTAGGATCAGTTACCTTCGTGAGACCCGACCGTCAGACACTTCAGACTACCTATGGGCCCCATAGCTGGCTCGTCTGGCCCTAACGCTCGGCCTGCGAGGTGACCCCGGATCACCAAGCCACACACCACTACCAGCCCCCATCATTGGTGGATGAGTGTCTAACTCAGTAGGGCTATTTGTGTGGTGGGGTTAATCCACTGGGATCTTCAGAGTTCGTCGGAAAGTACCCCATGGTGGCAGGACCCCATGGTGGTTGCTTGAGTATCACTCCTGACGACTGAGTGTTGTAGTGGCAGTTGCCCCTGGTCTTTATGGTGCTAAGTGACTATAAGAGTTTATGTGTTATTGAGTATGTCCACCCAGTAGTGGTGTGAGTATGTTGAGCCTGAGGGCATAGTACCAGATTTCGTCTGTTGGTACATATATTCTTTCTCCTACCTCCATATTAATGTTTAAATAAATGTTGTATTTGTATATTGTGTCTATTATTTACCTACAGTATCTACCGTTATTTCTTCCCTATTACTTGATATTATCATTACATATACCCACGAGCCTCCTCTCGTCACGCTACCAATGATTATAAGTATTAGAGTAAAAAGAATTGTTACTGACACACAGTCCCTTATACAGTTATTCACAAAACATTTGTGTTTGTTGTCGGCAGTAGTGACGGTGAGGAGGCAGAGGAGGGAGGGAGTTGGGAGGAGTGGTGACCTTGGACGCGGGAGCAGGGACGAGTGGAGATGCCAGCCAGTACATTACGGGTGTATTAATTGTTTTTATAGCTATTTTTGCATTTTAATATTAAATACTGTACATTACGTTTCAACAAAACTACCATTCATTTCTGAGAACATGGAAATGTAATATTTTTGCTGAAATGATGTACATATTACAGTGGAAAGTGGGATAAAATTATGAAGAAAGCAATGACTCTCTTTCTTTCGTTCAAAAGATGTTACCGTAATCGCTTTTCGAATGGTTTTCAGTTGTGGGATTATAAGGCTAATGATAGGATAGAATATTATTGTAATACAGTACGAGTACAACAGTTTTTTAACTGAAAACCATTCGAAAAGCGATTACGGTAACATCTTTTGAATAACGAAAGAATGCGAAAGTCATTGTTTTCGTCATGATTTTATCCCACTTTCCACTGTAATATGTACGTCATTCCAGCAAAAATATTATATTTCCATATTTTTTTCTGAGAATACATATATTCATTCAGTCACAGTTAAGGTAAAATATACTTGTGATGTAATATTTTAATGAAAATACAGTATTGTAGTTTTCTTTTGTTTCAAATTTAATTAACAAAGATTGATGTTTCAAATGTAATGAACAAAAATTTATGTACAGTATCTATAAATAAACTTTAATACATGAATACTTTATGTTTTACATCGCCCTGTGCTACCATACCATGGATTTGGCTACTTTGGGCTTGCTATGATGACGCAAGAGATCTGCCCTGGCAACTATACCGACACTCACAGCTGGTGGTGCGTTGGTGCATCATTTCCAATGTTTACTGGTAGTTACTGGTAAATATTTTTCAACCTAACGAAACTATTACCCGTTTAGAGGTCGACCCCCAATTTTTTGCCAAATAATTTGGTCTTAAAAACTCGAACTACACACAGGTATATACGGTAAATAAGGACATGGGGGGCCAGGGTTTTTTTTTGGGGGGGGCAGCAAAAATACGCGGATTTTTAACATCCACGGGTATCTCTGTTACATAACCCCCGTGTATGTTAAGGGCCGACTGCACACTACAGTATATGAAACAGTCGGTTAATGTCATGCACAGGTCACCCCTGATTGGGATAGGATTGCACTCCTGAAAAAACCCTGTAAATTGAATTAACACAATTCGTGAGCATTTTAACATGGGTTTCCATGATATGTTCCTGTCCTGAGTGACACAGACATGTAACACACAAAATGATCCTACACTAATTAAATAAATACAAACAAAATATACAAAGTCCTCATCACATTAATAACAAGAAACCTGGTCAACATCACATGTCTAACTTTGTCTCCAGAGACATGACTTTCACAGAGGCAGGAGAGTTGGCAGGACACTTGCTAGCCATTTTCAAAGTTACAGTTAAACTAATTACTTCAGTCACCCAAACAGAGCAAAATCTGAATGATAATGTTTTGCTCAAATTAATAATGGCAAAGAATCACAAGGTTATACAGTGAACGATAACATTTATTACATGATTGTGAGCAGATGTGATCACACTGAAACAAAGTGCAGGACTGTAGTTTTGATGGTACCCATGAGGTGGCACCTGGGAAACTGAATTGCACAGAGAATGGAAAAGCAGTTTCTGTGCATGTGAGTCATCTTGCTTCTGACAAGTGAAGGGAAAGATGCATTTCCCAATGTTTACATTCCGCATCAGCGTGTTTTGGTCAACGATAATTAACGTTGCGTATTTTGCCTAACATAAATCAAGAGAGGGTGCTCAAACCTAATTAACATTAACACAGACTGAAGTAAAATGAATGCTCATATATCAGGAGATACCTGTGCAATGATTATTGGTTTATTGACGTACATTATTTTTATTCATAGGATTTAAGTAACATTGTATCTATGATTTTGACTCCATCTTGTTGTAAATAAACTACTATAGATGTTATGATTAGAGAATGACACAATATATGTCATCGACCAGCAAGAGGGTTAACGGCACAGTAAAGGTTCTTGATGGAGATAATGAACTTAATCCTACGTTATCAAATGCCTTGTTATAAGAAATGTCTTTTTAGTAGTAATGACTAGATATTAAATGAAGACATAATATAATACATGAAACCACTCCTTGCATAGAAGTCTTTGATTATACTGTTAACAAGAGGAAGACTTAAGGACAGTACAGTAGCATTTGTTAAACAGCTGCTACAAAAGAATTTGAAATTTTATCATTGACCTTTGCTTATACAGTACAACCACACCTCTTAATACATTTTGTTATATTGCACATTATTCCAAAAGAAATATTTAAAACAAAATATGTGCATTCAACCAAGCACATCAGAAGTAATGTTATAACTATGATTAGAGCAGCATGAGATTACAGCAGAGGTACTAGAGCTATGGTCAGAGGTAGATTAATGTCCTGCAATGTGTTACTAAGTTGAAGGCATCATTGTGATGGATGGACACACAACTCAGTCCCATAACAGTAAACAGGACAGTACAGCCAAGGTCGGCATCATGAATCACTGGATTTTTATGTTCACTAAAAATAATATTGTGGAAGACAAGTAATAATAAAATAAGGGATTGAGTATTAAATCCCATTTTATGGCCAAAGGGAAGACTTAATGCTGTAAACAAAGTCACGTCCAATCACACAAAGATTTAAGTCTGTAAGGGTGTGGCCACGAGCGTCCATTTTGTCGCCAACATGTAATCAACAAGAAGAAACACCAGTCTAGTGAATGCAGCTGCACCAGTCGGAAATATGTGCCTCATGTCACTTGTTGAATAACCCATAGGGCAGGAAAAATGTCTTTATTGTGCATCACAAATGAAATCATAGCCAGAGACCCATTCTAATTTCACTGTAACTATTAATAACTGCTGCACCTGACTGCCCAGAAAGACTACAAATGCCAAAGGATAAGCAAATATGTACTACAGTATCAGTATTGCTGTTACACTTACTATATGCCAGGTGGGCAAGCAGTAAGGAAATACAGTAGCTTCATATTATAAGAAAATAAAAACTACTGTATATACATTCTTTTAAAATATACCATATACCCAGGGGAGCCCCCCAAATTCGCAGGGGTCAAGTCCTCAAAATGGCCGCGAATAACATTTGCGGACCTGGGGGGGGGGGATTTTTTACTTGTGTACAAAGAAATTAATATTCCCTTTATATGTTTGCCCTTAGGACAATTATTTCTTTTACCTGTAGTATTGTATATGTGTGTGTTTGTATGTGTAGACATGCACACAAAAAAAAACATACAGGGGGTACAGTACAAATAAATAATAATTGGAAAATCGTCTCACAAATAATCAGAAACAAATTTATTAAAAATGTGACAGTTTACACTCAAGTCAGCGCTCTATTACAGCACTTTATTAATAGAGCACGGAATTCAGGGGAGACTCACATTTTTAATAAATTTGTTTCTGATTATTTGTGAGACGATTTTCCAATTATTATTTATTTGTATGTAATTTGTGTGTGGGTGTATGTGTCTACACCTACACACACACCTACACACACACACATATATACGTACAATACAGGTAAAGGAAATTACTGTCTCTAGAACGAATGGCTCCCAGTCCTAGCTGCGAAAATGACAGCAACTTTAAAACCACCCACAGACATTCTTGGGTACATCCAGGGTGTCATCCGCGAATAACCGAGAACCGCGAAGTAAAAATCCGTGAACTTGGGGGGGGGGGGCCCCCTGTATATAAAAAGAGTTTATTTTTCAAAGGAATATATTATGTAATGATGAAGTGATTTAACTGTACTGTACTTTCTGAGAAAGAAAAGAAAAATTAATTCCAAATTATGGCTGAGATGAGGGAAATGTGAGACTGTCCAACACACTGTATGTCCCAGCACATCACCCATCATCATCACAGTACAGTACAACACTCCGGCAGCAAGAATTACTATTAATGTGAATAACACAACTGATGTAAACACGGGTGCTGCCCATAATATTTTTTCTTTTTGACAAACTACAGTGATACCTCCATATAATAGACTTATCTCTTCAAATAATCTGTTAGATGGGGGTTTAACATCAAACAGACCCTCGATATAACGGACCTTATATTCCATTAAATAGAGGTTTCACTGTAGGTACTGTAGCGGTACCAAAGACACAGGTACTGTACAAGGCTTACTACTGACTCTGCAAAGACAAACATTTATTCTGGTATTATGAGTTATGGACGTATGACAATTTTCGGAGTGACATTATTGCAATAGATCACCAATTATCAACGTTTTCTGTCGGATTAAATTGAAAGAAATATATTTAGGAAAGTAAATCAACCCTTCTTTTCTCATTATCATTACACACCATTATCCACATGATCGCTGTACAATGTATCTCTCAAACTCCAAACATTTTTATGCTGATTTTTTAAGTATTATCGTGCCTGCGTAACTAACTTATAAATAAGGGGGGTACAGTAAAAATGTACTACAGTGTATTAACAATAAATAATTCACCCAATGACCATTGAAGCCTTTTACTGAGGATCGTAAAGAATGGTTCCACATAACAGACTGGGTCAAATAGCCTCTTCATTATGGTGTGTGTGTGTGTGTGTGTGTGTGTCGAGAGGGGGGGGGGGAGGGTCACGGTGTAAGGGCTCATTCAGCATCACCATTTTACAGCCATTTTCCACACTTGCGTGGATCAGCTGTGTTTACCAGACGGCAGTCTTTCAGACTGCATGATCTCTTTCAGCTTCTGGCTGGTCCCCTACAATTCACTGGTCATTACAGACAAACACTGAATAATTGAATTCCTAAGGCTCTTAATGCATTTGGATAGGAAACTACCTTACAATAATTTCATTACTCACATGAATGGTACTTCCTGCTGCAGAACTATCACAGCCTATAACTCGAGTGGGTACTGCACTGTCACGGTGCTCAGTCTGTTGAACTGTCTTCCAGGTCACTCACCAACAACCTATTACTACCTTATAAAAAATATCTTAAGATTCACACACATATTCTGGATTGAAAATATTTGTAAGTTATGTCACTTGAAATAAACTCATCACAAATTGTTATTTACCTTAAACATATAAATATACTGTATATGAAGAACACAGAACTAAAGTAGGACCAGCTCTCACTAGTATTACTTAAAACTGTACTGACAGTGCTACAATAATCTGCCACTTAAATCACTTTAATATCTTCACTGGTTCCAAAGTTATGGTAATTTGAAGGTTCACAAACTTAAGGTGGCGGCACACTGGGCACTTTCCTCCAAACATGTTGCCGGTTTTGCTGGCCGTTGCCAAAACTCCCAGCAAGCAGCAGGATTTCGGCTGTTGCTAGAAATGGATAATGGTTTGGCAGGGATCTTTGCTGGCCGGATTAGTGCTCAAATGAGCTTCATATACAGTGGTCCCTCGGTTAACGAGCACAATCCATTCTAGAAGGTTGCTCGTTAACCGAAACCATTGTTTCAATGGGTTTTTGGGTAATTGGTTCCAGCTCACCAAAAATTGCCTAAATTCAACAAAAAGGGTAGAAAAGTACACTTACTTTGAGGTATGTATGTAGAAGGCTCCTGGATGATGATGATGGGAATTAGAATGGGGGTGGAGGAGAAAGGAGAAGAGAAGGCATTGGGGTGGAAGAGAAGTCACCCCATGGGGCCATTTCACTGATAAAATTTTAGTTCTCTTGGTGTAATTCAAGATTATTTTCTTTAAATCAACACTGCACTGCATTATATAGTGTCAATATGTAAAATAAATTTTAAAATGACCAATAATTTGCTTGCAAACACAGAAAAAAAGCGTTTAGTTGAAGAGAGTCTTAAGCAAGATGTTACCTCCACTGAAAAGACACAAAGACTGACGCCTGTATGCTGTGTTGGCAGGCTGGATGGCGTGCCACAAACTAGTGACCCTACCTTCAATTATGTTCAATAATTGTTAAAATGACTAAAAAATTTAATATTAAACTTTTAAAATGATTGAATAGTATAAACTTCTTGATATTTACTAAAAGGGTAAGGAATTTAAGCCCTAGAACCGATTACTGTATTGGCGGACTAATACTACAGCTGGTGGACCGCCAAATGCAAGCTAAAACATGTGGAGGTCGGCTTGTAAGAAACTCGTTAATCGAGGGATTGCTTGTTAACCGAAGTTAAGAATCTTATGGAAGGTAACTCGCTAACCGAGGCGCTCGTTAACCGAGGGACCACTGTACTGTAACTTAAAGAAAAAACCAAAATAAATTACGAAACAATAATAATTTAAAATATAACACAAACAGTGATATATTTCTATATATTTGTCACTTTAAGACTTTAATATTATTAAATCATTATTCAGGGTCTTCTTTGACCAGCCAGACGGCGTCACTTTTAAACAAACTTCACGAAGCAGCCATTTGTCTTTTCTTTAGCTTTTACAGATGCCTCACTTGTTTAAGCAATTGAAGAACAATAGCACAATCCTGCAAGGCCACAACTGTAGTAATGGGATCCATGACAATCCTTGTCTAGACAGTTTGTTGTTATTTTCGTTCCATTGGACAAACATGCCAACAGAACTTCCCTGTGTGATACAATACATCTCTTTGTTTTGCAGGCCAGACCATGTTTGGCAAACAAGTTTGGAGGAAAGTGCCCCGTGTGCTGCTGCTTTTAAACTGCATTTTTCTCTGTTTTTCATTTACGGTGCTTGTCCTACTTGGGTTCTGTGTGCCTCATATACAATCTACTAATTTCTATATTGTTAAAATACAGTTTGTATAATTATTCCTACACTGCAGAAAGATGGCAAGGAAGTAAGGCATACTAAATTGTGTTTGGTACTGTACACAGCAGACAGCAGTTAATTTCTTCATATGCACACAGTTTCACCACTATGACAAGGACAATTCACTCTACATTTAAGAATAAAGCAAGACTATTGTAAGTGTTCTTTTACATTCACTCCAACAATGTTCTTATTATAGCTCCCTTGGTACTTCTAAAATGTCACTGAAGATTTACAAACAGTACAGTAACAGTCCTGGTTACAAGTGAGTTGCAGTGTATTGAACATACTGCCTTATTCTATTATTAAAAAGCTGCAACCTCACAACACTTATTAAGGTACATAAAGTAGACAAGCTACAGGAGGTTAACACAGACAATTTTGTTCAGCAAAGAGACTTCCCCATACACAAGGGATTAATATATACAGTCCAACCTTGTTATTTGACAATTTAGAATCCCTTGAGTGCTTCTTCTACAAACTCCAAGCACCAAGAAGTCTCACAAGACTTTTCTCCAGCGAGGAGAAATATCAAGATACTGTACTGGACAAACTTAGGAGCCAGGGCAGTCTGCCAGTGGTCCAGTGAGTGAAATATATGCTCTACAAGGAATTTTTTGGTGCATTTTTTGGAGGCTCCAGTCCCATCCCTATATTTCCTACTGAAGTACAAGTGCTGCTCTTCTTAAAAATGAGTTACATTCCTGAGACATGTTCTTATGTCCAACTTTACTCTTGTAGGTGCCCAACATGTTGTTTAAAAAGAAAAACTAAAAGCTGTACAGTAGTTAAACCCCTATAATTAATACAGCACATGATTACAGTGTATCAAACCAGCCTTTAACAGAATTTTAATGTATAAATAACTTGTATTAATTTTGAAAGCAGCTGTATGACAATAGGACATGTGAACAGATTTGTTTGTATCTGAAAGTTCATAAGTAAAGGAGATCCTGTACATGGCTGGATATATCATGATTCAAAATTTCAGGGTAAATCTAGGCCTTTCTGGCAATATAACGAGGGTCTACTGTACTGTACTTACACTCCCAAGAGTTTTGGAAGAATGAAGAGAATCCGAGATGACTCAGTCAGTTAATAATATTCTAACAACTTTTTTAATTCCAAATGTGTAAATATAATATAACATCTTTTTAATTTATATGATATTCTAGCAACCATTAAATGTATATAATTCTCATAACATCTTTCTTAATCTACAATTACACTATTCTTGCTGACAACCTTATGAGTATATGACTACAATATTGCAACAGCCTTTTAGTATATGATTACTGTGTAATACTCTAACAACTTTTAAATACAACTATTATATATGGTCAACTTTTTTATTTGTAACAACCAATAACTGATTGATACAAATCCCTAAGGCTTTAACATAACCTGCAGAGTAAAATGTTATTTGTACTACACACACCTATATTATGCGCACATCGACTGTATACAGTGTTCACTACTTGTCAAGTATACTTATACTGTGTTCACTACTTGTCAAGTATACTGTGTCTTACAGCACTGATATACTTAACTTGTAGATGAAGTATTAACCAACATTAATGACACGTGCGCACATATGCTCCAAATTTCTACGATGAAGCACAACAGGCGACCCATTCCTAAGATGATCACACCTATAAAAACAACAATCATGTGTTATACAGTGTAACTCTCACTACCAAATATCACAGGTTTCCCCTTGTATTTACACAGAATGTACCAACTGCCTGAATGGTGAAATTATATATATATATATATATATATATATATATATATATATATATATATATATATATATATATATATATATATATATATATATATATATATATATATATATATATATATATATATATATATATATATATATATATATATACACAGACAGACAGACAGACAGACAGACAGATATATATATATATATATATATATATATATATATATATATATATATATATATATATATATATATATATATATATAATCAACACCTCAACCGTTCAACCCACGGCCCTTGTTGCTGACGAGGCGCTAACCACTGGACCACCAGGATACTAAAAGCAGTCCTAGACTTTGTTATATTTCACACAAAGCCTGTTCAACGAGCTTATGGGCTAATGAAATATATATGGACCCTCGTGTTTCGAAGCCGGATTTGGTAAGACGTTACTCTGACCACCTACGTGATACGGGTAGTCCCCATTAGAGGTTCACGGCGCCATAAGCTCGTTGAACAGGCTTTGTGTGAAATATAACAAAGTCTAGGACTGCTTTTAGTATCCTGGTGGTCCAGTGGTTAGCGTTCCCCGGTCACAGTCATGGGCTCGTGGGCCGTGGGTTCGAATCCTGGCGGGTTGAGGTGTTGATTGTATGTAGAAGTCCACGTGCTTTATTGGGCTAATGATATATATATATATATATATATATATATATATATATATATATATATATATATATATATATATATATATATATATATATATATATATATATATATATATATATATATATATATATATATATATATATATATATATATATACACAGTGATCCCTCGGTTAACGAGCGCCTCGGTTAATGAGATTTCGGTTAACGATTTACCTTCCATAAGATTCTTAACTTCGGTTAACGAGCAATCCCTCGATAAACGAGTTTTTTACGAGCAGACTTCAACATGTTTTCGCTTGCATTTGGCGGTCCACCAGCTGTAGTATTAGTCCGCCAATACAGTAATCGGTTTTAGGGCTTAAATTCCTTACTATTTTAGTAAATATCAAGAAGTTTATACTATTCAATAATTTTAAAAGTTTAATATTAACTTTTTTAGTCATTTTAACAATTATTGAACATAATTGAAGGTAAAGAAACTAGTTTCTGGCGTGCCATCCAGCCTGTTAACACACCAGACAGGCGTTAGACTCTCTCTGTTTTCAGTGGAGGTAACATCTTGCTTGAGACTCTCTTCAACTGAATGCTTTTTTCTGTGTTTCCAAGCAAATTATTGGTCATTTTGAAATTTATTTTACATATTGACAATATATAATGCAGTGCAGTGTTGATTTACCGTAAAGAAAATAATCTTGAATTACACCAAGAGAACTAAAATTTTATGGGTGAAATGGCGCCATGGGGTGACTTTTCTTCCACCCCAATGCCTTCTCTTCTCCCTTCTCCTCCACCCCCATTCTAATTCCCATCATCATCCAGGAGCCTTCTACATACACACCTCAAAGTAAGTGTACGTTTCTACCTTTTTTGTTGAATTTAGGCAATTTTCGGTGAGCTGGAACCAATTACCCCAAAACCCACTGAAACAATGGTGTCGGTTAACGAGTTTTTCGGTTAACGAGCAACCTGCTGGAACGGATTGTGCTCGTTAACCGAGGGACCACTGTATATATATATATTGTATAACAAAATATATCAGTACAGCTCCTCCCCGACTTACGACCACCCGCACTTACGACCTGCCTCCGTCGAACCAAAATTTTGTCAAATTACGTATTTTCGAGTCCCAACGTCGGTGATTGCGCTGTGTACTGACAAAATTTTTGTTTGTAATTCACTTTAAACTGGCTGGCAAGCTTAAAAGTGAGAGTTTTGTGGTGCTGAGAAGAAAGAGACACCCATTTTAGATTTTCTATGTATTATTTAAGCATTTTCGACTTACGACCATTTCGACTTACGACCTGTATATCTAAAAAAATATATAATTAATGTATATGAGTAAATCTAAAAATAAATAAAAATCAATCATTCAAAAAGTAAAACTTGTACAATGTCAGTAAGTGGGCAAAACAGCCCAATAAAGCAGTGTGGATACAGCCTGATGAATACTACTGTAAACCTTCCAACATACTTGACTTCTTCCATTTCCCCAGAAACAGCCAGTCAACTGAGTATGCCCCAAACTCAAAAATGTGTGAATTGTAAAAAAAAATAAAAATAATAACAAAATAAAATAATAAAATAAATAAATAAAATAAATAAATTAGAGCTACATCATCCTTGGAAATATCCCTAGTTTAGTGTAGTTGAAGAATGTATACACCTCCACCTTCCCTGAAATAAAATATTTCACACAAAATACAGTACAGGTACTAAATGATGTTCCTGTGATTAGCTTAACACTGTTGATACAAATGAAATCATTAAGGACAGATTCAGGAATATCAAAAGGAGGAAGGGGGTCAAGAAGTTGTAGTTGGGGGAACATGGAGTGCACAGCGAACCCACCTAACTGGGGGTTTGGGGGGGCACTGTAAGCCCCACCCAGAAATTTTATCGAAATCTGACCAATATCATGGGCACTTTGAGGCCATTTTGAAGCCATGTGCACTTGATATTAGAGATATTCTGAGGTCAATAGTAATTACTTTTTACTTTACAAAAATGCCTGAGTACAATACTGCATTAAAGAAAAGTTATTGGAATTTGCTGATTAAAAGGGAGGTCCAGATCCCCAGGACCCCCTCCCTAGATCTGCCCCTGATCACTGAAGAGGCTTTGCTGCCTTACTGACAAAACATGAGTATTGACAGCTGCCAACACCACTGTTTCCAGCTTCATTCATCCAAGAAATTTTACAGTCAATATAACTTTGCTTATCTATACAGTACAATATTTACCTTCTTGTGACAACTCTACTTATGTACAAGTACAGTCACCTACAATAGACCTGTTGTCTCTACTCCTTAGCTATGAACCCCAAGATTTAAACTCGCAAATTTATGGACAGAATAATGCATTAGTGTTATTTTGGGTTCATGAGTCTGAATCTCGGGGTTCATGGTTCAGGAGGAGAGACACAGCACTTTAGTGGGTGATTGTACTGTACTATAGGGAGAAACTTACCCAACAGCGGCACAAACTGGGGGAGGAACCACAGGTAGGTCCCAAATATGCCATTCTGAAGACTGATGAGCCACACTGGCAGCACGTGCAGACCAGCAATAGCCCACACACCCCAGGGGTTCCGGAAATCTATGAAGGCAAATATTCCAAGCTGAGAGAACCCAAAATGAGATTATGATCACAAAATATTAGATACAGACACATCAACAGTCGAAGATATTTACAGTACAGTATATACATATACTATATAAATATGTCTAGTAGTACAATACAGTATTTGCCTACATGAATACATATATACAGCTCCTCCCCGACTTACGACCACCCGCACTTACGACCTACCTCAAGTCGTACCAAAATTTTGTCAAATTACGTATTTTCGAGTCCCATATAAGGGCCGTGCCTCTTATAACATTTTTCTTTCCTCTAATACTTACAACCATTGGTAGCGTGACGAGAGGAGGCTCGTGGGTATATGTAATAATAGTATCAAGTAATAGGGAAGAAATAACGGTAGATACTGTAGGCAAATAATAGACACTATATACAAATACAAAATTTATTTAAACATTAATATGGAGGTAGGAGAAAGAATATATGTACCAACAGACGAAATCTGGTACTATGCCCTCAGGCTCAACATACTCACACCACTACTGGGTGGACATACTCAATAACACAAACTCTTACAGTAACTTAGCACCATTAAGACCAGGGGCAACTGCCACAACACTCAGTCGTCAGGAGTGATACTCAAGCAACCGCCATGGGGTCCTGCCACCATGGGGTACTTTCCAACAAACTCTGAAGATCCCAGTGGAATAACCCCACCACACAAATAGCCCTACTGAGTTAGACACTCATCCACCAATGATGGGGACTGGTAGTGGTGTGTGGCTTGGTGATCCGGGGTCACCTCGCGGGCCGAGCGTTAGGGTCAGACGAGCCAGCTATGGGGCCCATAGGTAGTCTGAAGTGTCTGACGGTCAGGTCTCACGAAGGTAACTGATCCTACTGGACCTCGGACATCTCCCCAGACATAGTGGATACAACATCCACGCTACAGACACGGCCTAGGCTGCGTTAGGGACCTGTATGGGTGAAGGGGCGATCACTTACTAACCGTGACAACGACATCACGTTTCAGGGGACGTTAAAGACGTAAATATTACTTCACTCAGAGCATATCAACTACGTTACTGTAACACTTGCACAATCAACTATTAATTGGGTCAAATCACGTAAAGAAGGGCGAATTACAACACAGAGTGGAATGACCTACCTGTATGGGTGAAGGGGCGAGCACTTACTAACGGTTGAAATGCCTGCGGCACCCTCACTCAAAATAGGTCAGGGAGTCCACCTACTTCTATTTTGATGAATTAATTTACTGTACACTCTGACGTTGAAACTGAGACTATGAACTCAGTTTCATTCCCTACTATTATCTTCACTAACAATGCTCTGGCTGAACTATCAAAAACAAAATTAAATTGATTACAAAGGGTTGGATGGTAACAGGTCCCAACTACAGCGTTTTACTACGAAATCCACGGATTATATTCAAAGTTCCCTTTAGACAAAGACGGCCTATCGATGACGTCATCAAGGTAACAGAGAAAACGGGGGACGTTTCCACTGGGGGACTCGGAAGGTTTTGTGGACGTTTGAGCGTAATATGAATCTTTAAGGTTTTCAGGTTAGCCGTCATCACGATCATGACACCAACGTCAGTGATTGCTCTGTGTACTGACAAAATTTTCGTTTGTAATTCACTCTAAAGTGGCTGGCAAGCTTAAAAATGAGAGTTTTGTGGTGCTGAGAAGAAAAAGAGACACCCATTTTAGATTTTCTATGTATAATTTTCGCATTTTCGACTTACGACCTGGACTTGGGTCCCTAACCCCGTCGTAAGTCGGGGAGGAGCTGTAGTAACAAAAAAAAAATTAAATAAGAAAAATAACAAATTTAATTCCAGTTCTTACTATTGGTAAACATGCAGGAAATTAATGACGAAAGTATTCCATATTTTTTGTGACTAGAAAGAGGAGGTACTCCACAGTTCTCCCGAGCAGTTAGAGCCTTGCGCCACTCAGCACCCAAAGAATGGTTACACACAAATGCCGTCCACTCCACCGCTGAAACCAAGTATAGTATCTGAAAAAAAATAAAAATAAATAAAATACATAAAGAAATAAAATGAACAACTAAACATGACCTGCCCCAATACATACATATACATACATACATACACACACACACACACACACACACACACACACACAAACCTGCACATGATATTTATATATATATATGAATTTCCTTTCTTACAAACCATACATTTTATGGCATCTTCTATTTTCCCATCAATTAACTACTGAAATTAAGTGGTTGCATGTTTCCTTATTTTTGTAACAGCCAAATGTCATCGATGAATTCCCATTAAAGTAAATCAATCAGTTAATCTACAATAATGACTTTTAACAGGCACAAGCCAACAGATGTTATCACTTACAGGGTGTATGTTGATCCACAGGAGACCTCGACTCAGGTTGTCGAGTACAACATCAAACTGTGGAAAGTAAAGATAAGGTTACTGACACTAAGGACCTAAATACCAAGTTCACCTGGCCAAGAGGACAGTGTCTCTGTCTCAGAATACAGACAACACGTGGACACAGAACGCTCTACAAGGGGTGTGTCCTGATGGTGTTGGTTCACAGGTCACTTATCAACTCATGTTACGTGAAAGAAGGAGAATCTAGACATTCATATTAGTTCACTGATTCAAATTTATCCTTGAGGTATTACCTGTATACAACACTATATTCAATACTACACATGATAAATACATTTTATGAAAGAGCTTAAAGTTATGAACTCACATCACACTGAATACTAACCCAAGCTCCAAAGAGTGAGCACTGCCCTAGTTTGCGTGCTATGTACCCGTCAAAACCATCCAATGTAATAGACATGGAGTAGAAGACGACGAATAAGGTGGGAGAGACTCGCAAGTACATGAAGGCCAGGAGGAGAAGGAACAGTCGTATGTATCCTGCAATTACTTGATTACTAATATTTTATGTACAGTTACATTGCTACACAGTATTATATTGCTCAGTTATGGTACATACAGTATATCATAATAATGCTCTCACTTATTGAGCTATAGTTTAATAAAATAAAGTAAAACTGTCAACTGTTAAATTTTAATTAGTTTAGATAAAGAGATTTTTAAAATGTATCATCAAATGTCTCAGTTATGGATTCATAAAGTGCTCCGGTCACTTACCAACTATGTTAGGAATGTATAATAAGACCATATAGTCAGGTCTTTTTCCATTTCCTGCACTTTTGGTTGTCAAATGTGGCTGTTTGTCACTCACACTCGGTGGTTCAAAGCCAGCCATGGTGGTTATTGGAGGGCACTCAGGTACAGTAATCTATAAATGATAACAACAACATATATGATGCTATTTACACCAAACTCCAAAATAAATTGTAAAGACAAAATTATCAGGGAATGATTTAGTGTAATATTAGCAACATACAGTATTGGTAATCACAAAATATTACATTAGTATATGGTAAATATAAAGTGAAAAGTCAAGATAATATGATTCAATATCTAGAAGGGGAAGTCCATTTTCTCTGGGGAGCTCCACTACTTAGTTTACCCAACTGATAAACTATAAAAAAGGGGGTGTTAGTGGTAGTGTACATTTCTCTCATTGCTGTGTCCTGAGTTCAATTTCCAGTCTGGGATAGATGTGAGAAGGGTGTTTGTTACCCAGTGTGACCCTAACAAACATGGCAGGTTATCTCTGGGTACAGCACTGTACCAACACTGGACAATAAAGTTCACAACAAAGTAACAAGAACATATCAACTGCTCCAGCAGATATACTGTAGTATGGCAAGCTGATCAGTGGTGAAATGATAAATTAAAGGAGCCAGACCCTGATAGGAGTAAAAGTTATTAATGGCTAGTAAGCTATTAAGTGGTAAAAATTATAAAACAAACACAAGAGGGGACGACTGATGTATACTGAAGCCTCACTACAATGGACTGAACTGGACATAAATTGACCAAAACAGCTACTCTGTGAGTATTTTATAATAGCACTGGCACTTTTCTATTTATAAATAGCGACCTGTACTTTGCTGGTTCAGGCAGCTGTTAAGATAAACAGTACAATACGGTACTGGTACTGTACAGGTGCTGACTGCTATACAATGGATCTATAAACGATCGATTAGTTATACAATGTTAAATAATTAACACTGTGATGGCTAAGATCAGTTTTACGATGATTGCGGCCTCCCATGTTTGTTTACAAAAACAAATAAATACAGTATAGTCTCGATTTACGCGGATTTGGTTTACGCGTTTGGTCATTTACGCGGCACCTTGCCAGACCGACAATTTTTATTTACACGGTTCACTCCATCATTTACACGGGGAGCTGTGCGGGCAGTGTGCGCACAAGGTCGCCCAGTCAACAAAACATTACCGAGTTCTTCACCCATCACCCACCACAGCCGGCCCAAGTCAGTGATAGTGAGGATATGGACTTTGAGGGGTTTGACAAAGAGGCCCTGCAAGCCTCTGTGGTGGATAGTGATACAATTCATACAAGTGATACAGGTGAGGGCCAATAATCTGCCCTCTGCCTCGGAACCAACCCCCCATCCCCGTGTGCCCAGCCATCTTTTCTACTAACGTAAGTGTTAAAAAACCTAATATTATTGATATTTCTTTTAAATATTAATTGCGTGTGCATACCATCATAAAATTAAAATGTTATTTTTACTACAACGTACGTATTGTGTCGGAAAAAGTGTAGTTTGGGGGTCGGCCCAGTCTCTATTTCAATTAATCCCATATGTCCTGTTATTTCGTTTATGTGTTTCTCGTTTTACGCGGACCTCCACGGGTTCAATTGACTGCATAAATGAAGACTATACTGTACTACAAAATTATTTAATAAGATATTTCTTTTCTGAATTTCCTTATCTAAACTATTGCGTACAGTACAGTATTATGAATTAATATGTGACAATGACATGTAGCTATATAAAGACAGCTGTGAAATTCTTAATGTACTTCTTGAAGTAAAGTACAGTTCAGAAAGATATACAGTAGTGTACTGTACATTATAATTTGCAACTTATATGTGCTCGCCTGCTTATCTGTCAAGTGATGAGAAAAGTGTGTTGTGTTTTTCATCACTCAAGTGGTAATGATATATATTAGTGCTTTTTCTGTGTTGTCATTATGAGAAAGTGATGTGTAATAACCTCAGTGATCCCCAGCTGCCACTTGAAGTCACAGCTGGGGGATCGCATCTTACCGAGTACTACTGTATACGTATATATCATGTAAAGTAAATGGAAATAAATCTTTATTTTGTATAAATTTGTTAAATTTATGTCTACATGTATTTATAAATTATTTGAGTCATCTAGATATTATTTAACTATTATAGCAGCAGGATATAAAACTTGTTTGGGCTATTCAGGGGTTCAGGAACGGAATCTATTTTTCCCCAAAAGTTATTAATATTGAGATACGACTGATCACCTAATGATGGCATTTTGAGCTCCCAACCCTATCATATAACAGTCAACACCAGTACTGTACTGTACTGTAATATGAAAGTAAAGGACGATCTCACACAGTAAGAGAGCCATGAGAGAGAGTGTGAGGGCATACAGTACAGCATACTGTACTGAGGACAGTTCCTTCAGTACACAAGGAGGCACTGCACAGTACACAGCCACCTTCACTACAGTGCAGTATAAAGCAAGATACCCAATCACAGCTCAGTGACCAAGACAACAGGAGGCGAGCACTGTATCCACATCGCATAAAAAATTCATAATATATTTAATTTCTAATCCTAGAAATATAGACCTGGGCTTCATTTTCCTGGTCCTCTCTCAGTGTGGACGTCCATCAAAATTTTGTTTTGTGCTAACCCAAATCAGCTCATTTAGTATACATTATGTCCAAATAAAGAGCATCACATGACCCCGATACAGGTTTCTATTGCACAATACAGTACTGTTTATACTTAGTTTAGGCTTGAATGCTCACAGAGCTTCAGCAATACAATACAGGATATTTCTAAACTATAAACTACTACCATATTCTTCATCATTTACCATAGCTAACCAAAGTTCAGTATGACCTCTGAAGTTTCAAACCAGTGAAAAAAAAATCAGGTCAAGAAGCAGTGTAAAAATTCCACAGGAAACATTATGGTCTTGTATAGAAAGTTCCCACAAGGAGGCTGTCACCCACTGTGTTACAGCCTTGGTGGGTTTTTGGTGCGAAAGCACATTTTTTCTAGGAATTGCAAATATATGTATACATACTGGTATACAATCATGTAACAGTTTAGCAGCTCCAGAATTAATAAAAACATAAAATAAAACACACCAAATTTATAATAAGTGATTATGAGGTGTTTGAATATGAACAAAATTATTTCAAGGGTTACTAAGACAACTCCAACAATTACCATAACATAACTGACCACCTATGAGGCTAACAGGCTGATCAGTAGTAAAGGGGATAAAGTACCTGTACTGTACTGGTAATAACTTGTAATTTTTTATTACAGGTTTTTAATCAGCATATCAAGAAGTTGTGTACCTGGACCTATAATGAGGCCTTGAAACACCATCAACAAGACACAAACCAAGTTAAACACAACTTAAGTAACACAGAAATTATGTACTGTACAGTAAACTTATGAAAATAAGGTCAAATATCCAAAGACAGTTAGGTAGAGCGTCTCATCTGGTTCGAGGTCATCCTCATTAAGTTAGGACTAAATTGTCTACTATGTAAATGTAAAAACCAGTAATATGGTGATTTTTTTTCTTGATAAAACATATTACATTTACCAGGATATGCAAGTGTGGAAAATGCCATAAAACAATTATCTTAAGAATAATGAAAGTACTGTACAGAACTATTAGGGGTGGGGCTTCCTCCCCAATATTTAATGCTAACAAAAGCTATGATGGGTTTGGATGGGTTAGGTTGATAAAACAGATGCGCAGGTTATCCGACAATTAATGAAAATTTTCTATACAAGACAACTCATTTCTTTAAGGAAATTAAAAATAAAAGAAGAGGATTAGTAATTTTTTTAATACTGTACTACTTAAGCGACTTTTTTTGTTCTGAATACTAATCCATTTTCCACCAATGCTATTTTCACTGTTTACAGGACGACAGTTTCTTATGAAGGAACACTTCAAGTGATGGCTACATTATACGATTTAACCTAACCTAACGCAATCCACCTAATGTAACCTAAATAGATTAAGAAAACAATTAATATGGCTTTGGCAAGACATAGCTGGTAAACATACTGTTGATTGACATTCAGGAAGAAAAATTGCCCAAAGAATTTGACTAATTCTCATCATTTTATATATACATTCTTGAGGTTTGGAAGAAATTCTATAGAAATTTTTTCAGAAGTTGCTGATTAACCTGTGCAGCCATTCTAGAAAATTATCTCACAGTCTAACTTAACCAAGGTTAAACAGAACATAATATTATGCACTGTCAAAGAGGGGAGAAAATTACTCTACAGTACCTACAGTACATCAGATGTGAGCATCGAACGAGATATTCCGCCTCTTGATAATATTCAGTGTTTCAGTCATCAAAATCACTATTCATAATAGCATATTATATGGATCTGGTCAATTTACAAAATGTGCAGTGGCTACAGTCAACATGTATACCGGTACCATTTCTGCATTTTTTAATCTTTATATTTTTATCTCCTAAAGATATATTATTTGGGGAGGGGGAGGGGGGGGGTTAATACACATTCTATACATGAAATATCTCAAATCTGCTAACTTGGGTGAACATCAAACAAGTAAAATAAGGTAAATGCACTACAATAATAAGTTGATGTAGTTAATTACTTAAATGCTCCAGTGTTAGTAAAATAAACACACTCGCCACAAGACGTAAGTAAATGGGAACTTTCACAATCTTTCTTCACCTTTAACCTATAAAAGATATATAACAAGGTAGTACCACACTTACATATGCGGATGTCACTCACTATCTCCCCTAGTAACCAGTTACAGCAAGAGACTGACAGGTGACCGTGACAGGGCTGGGAAGACATTACAGTTACTTCTTCACCGTCCACCAGCCCTGGGGTCCTTCCTTCCTCCTCAGTCCTCCCTTAATCTTTAAGGTGTAACTTCAATCAAACAGATTTAATCTGTTTTTCGCATTAATCGTAAAATATTTGAAAAAAATGTAGTAGTCATATCAACACATATTTTTGTTGTTACTGTTTATTGCTACTAATTTTATATCCACTTAAGAAAGTTGAATATTTGGAGTTTTAAAGCACATTCAGTTAGAAAAAAAGATACTAAAAAACACGAATATTGAGGCAAAATTGGTTGCACAGTTTTTAATACAGTCTGACAGCGCCGACAGAAGTATTTATTTAACCATTGACATTACGCTGAGCAGTTACCCTAGAGGCAGACCGCTAGTGTTGGGCTGTGGGCCATCCCTAGATCTTCAGGGTTAATGATATCAAAATGATGGCGACCATATTGTGGTTCACATCGTCTGCTACACGGGACCATCTTCTTTCATTTTTTTTCTGGAGATGTTTGGATGATAGTAAGAAAGTCGAAGCAAACAATGCACAGGCTAGGGAGTTAGATTTGCTTAGGTAGGTTAGGTCAGGTTCTGTGCCGTTAAGCTTCCATTTTCATGTTCAGTAAAATGTGAATAGTATCTCTTAGAAGTTTAGGTTTAACTCCATAAATTATTTCAGGTGCTAACTGTCTCCTCCACCTTTACCTAATTATTTTCGTTAGTTTTTAATGCTAAGGTCAACCCTATGATAATTTTAATGATTGATAATTTGGTAATAACACTGATAAGTGATATTGTTCTTCATGCATTACTCGAAAGAGAGAGAGAGAGAGTACTGGTAGTTGTTTTGCTCACACTCCATTGTGGCGACGCCTTGGTGTGTGAGTGTGACAGCCACCAGCACACACCCTCTCTCGACACACTGATGGAAGTTTAACAGAACTGAAGCTCCCATATACAGTACCTTGGATGAAATGGGATGTCATGTTGATAGTGCATGTTGTGGTCCCGTGGACGAGGAGGTTTAGTACAAGAGGTTGTTGTTAGTACATGTGGTTGTTAGGTTAATACAGGTTATGTTAGTACAGGAAATTATGATTTTAGTACAAGAGGTTGTTGTTAGTACAGGTAGTTATGTTAATACAGGTTATTTTAGGACAGGTGGTTATGTTAGTAAAGGAGGTTGTTGTCAGTAAAGGAGGTTATGTTAATGCAGGAGCCTGAAGAGTAGATACTGTAACCCTCATTAGGTGGCAGAGATGGTCATCCTCGGGTCAAATACACAGATGATTCTTGATTAGCTTCATCTGGGAAGATGCTTGCTCGCAGATCACAGTTGGCCAAAGACAGTACTGTACTGTACAGTGCAATATCTACCTTGTCCTTTTCTGTATCTCTTGAAACTGAGCTTCAGGGAGACTTGTATAGAAGCTTATCAGACCAGCACCTTCATCAACTGTGCATTTCTTGATGAAGCTTTGCTTATGTAAATACATATAGAAAAAAAATAACCAATATCCAAAAATCATCAACAGGTCCCCTTAACGGACAATTTATACAAATATATCATTAAAAGCCATCCTAACACTATTGGCAGTCTCCCTGTTCCTGATCTAACCTACCAGTCTATGTAGTTATGTTAAGAGGTGGTGATTTTTATTTCATCTGCAGCCCTTCTTTATTTACCTTGTTCTGTTTCACCTTCCTGCATCAAGTGTACCCCCGGACAGGTCTATTATTTAAGCAACAACTGTAGGGGTGTGGGGGAATGGGGTAGGGTTGTGGGGACATGAAGAAGAGCTGTGAGGGTGTGGGGGGTTGGAGGAGGATGTCAGGTTGTGAGGACATTGGGAGAGATTTGGAAGCATTAGGGAGAGTTGTGGGGACATGGAGGAGGGTTGTTGGGATGTGGAGAGAGTAATGGGGGTTTATGTAGGAGAGTTTTGGAGTGTGGGGAGGGTTGTACAGGAAGGTTGTAGGGATGGAGGAGAGTTGGAGTTGGAGTGGGGGGTGGGATTGTAGGTGTATGTTGTGAGGATGGAGGATGGTTGTATGGATGTGAGGTATACAAAGTGAATGTTGACTTAGGGGTGTTAATGTTCACTACACCAACTCATAACATTGTCTTCATCAAATGTGTCAAGGGCCTCTTGTATAAGCAGGAAGGAATGTGTTTATAGTCACCATAAAGAGAGTTCATGTCTCATAATTTTTAACTGTTGATGGACTACATAGTTTAATTACTTACTGTGTTACCCATTTAAAAGACCTTAGTTATTGAAGTGCAGTAATTCAGTATAATACAAATATGAGTATCAACAGAATGTAAGTAAACTGCCAAACACACACAACAGGACGGAAGTACATCATAAGACTCAAGTGTAGGGAACCAGGCTGGTGACGGGCACAATGTTTTCTGCCTTCATATGCTTACCAAGAGCAAGAACCCATTACCCCAGACTCAAGTACTGTACATGAAGAAGCACAGGATGACAGCACTGAAGTAGAAGGTAGAGGGTCTTTACCACCTGAAGACACAAGCCTTCTTCAGGGTTTTGCTAGAACATTACAGGACAGTGATAGTTTGGGTTGTACAAGTGTAGGGTAGTTATTAAGATATTCAGAGCCTTTATTTCTCATAAAAAAAAAAGGAATTTTTGGAGGTCAAGGAACACAGCTATTTTCCTCCTAAGTTCAATTTAGTAGCTAATGATCCACATGACGACAGCCTATAGCGCTTAACCTTGTTCTCTTGGGCAAACATTATCCTTATTCTGAAGTGGACTGGGCGAGCCGAGCTTGAGTACTGTATTGTATGGGTCACATTCTCCAGATATACCCTCATAGTCAGGAAGAAAGCAGGGGAGGGAGGGGGCTTGAGTCAAATACAGTAAACCATACTACATAACACATCATGAGAAGGTTACATCCCATAACTTTCAAACTATTTTAATATTTTTTGCTGAGAAAGTGAAAATATTTAGAATCTTCCTTACATGATGCCCAAGAATGTGTAGTACAGTAATTGGATAATAACATTGTAAGAATTCATAACATTTGAAGATTGAATTATTGAAATTATGATCCTATAAAGGTTAAATTTTTACCTGATCATCCTCAATGTTTACCCACTCAATCATGCCTTAAATCCCGAGGGAAGACCACCAGAACACTCCTCTATAAGTCTGTCAACAGTACAGTACCTTGAAAGATTCTGCAGTAAAGAGACCATTGGATAAACATATTTTTTAAAAAAACACAATGATCACTACAGCATTCATATCTACCATCCTCCCTTTAAACTCTTGATCCAGGAAAATGTGTCTCCAAAATGTTTAAATCCATCACTGCTTCAGGAATACGAGACTCAAGTGGCTGACAAAAGTCATCAATGAAAAAGATGACAGTCTTTATTCCACAATTTATTTTTTCTATGAGTTTTATCTATACGAGTAAACATATTATCCGCTACACTTTTCTCAGCTTTGTTCTATGCTGATCTGACAAACATCAATACCTGTCTAACAATAAGAGGCCTTCACTACAGTAAAACAGGAATAATAATACATGTCTTACAAGAGAATCAGTAATGTAAGGTAAGTAAATATCAGCTAGATTTTTTGTTCTATATTTTTGGAAGATGCATATAGAAATTTTTACAAAAGTATCAATATTGAAGCAACTGAGAAAATTGATCTATGCTTAACATGAAACAGACATGCTCATCCGAGAGAGGCTACTTGTGGGGTGTCGTCTGTGGCATGCATCAAACACTAGTACTCTACTGCCTCGCCTCACATCATGATCACGTTCACCTTTCAGCAACAATTACGATTAGTGACATTAGCAATATTATCACAATAGAAATTTTTGATACCAAATTTCTTATATTTAAAAACTAATGTAATAAAGATACATTTAATTTTACCTGTTTAATACTCTTCTTGTGAGTACAGTATATCCATAAGTTATCACACCTTTACTGAAGCCTGATATGTTGGTCACTTGTTTTTCAAAAAGTTTAATGGGATAAATGAGAGAGCAATAAAGTTTCCATGGTTCATTAATGAAAACTTACATTAACATTTACAATATTTTATTAAAAAAAAATAATAATAATAATAATAATGATAATGTTTGGCGAGTTGTTTTAACAGAAGACACAGCTCAGTGCATCAGGAAAGTAAATGTCGGATAAAGAAATGTTCATCTGGGAATGATACAAAAGTGTCGCGAGAGAAAATCCGCTGCTGCCATGCTCGCTGCAACTTGTCAGCACCAGTCAAGAAGCTGTATACATTGCACATCCATTGGTCAGATACCATCAGTGTAGTGACAGAGGAGATGATGATTGGACGACTCCTAGTTCGTGCCCACACTTACAATGTCCACCTGAAGCCTAATGGTGCTACAGTACTGTGAGGAAGGCTTGTGAAACAACCACCACATACAAAACACACACCTTGCCCATATATATGTGCAAATAATCTCCCTAGTCAAAAAGTAATTTCTGCCAAGATCATGGCAGCAGCAGTGTGGGTGGCTGGACACTGTAAAGCTTTAAACTATTACTACTAACTGGGGTCTAACACAGCTTCTTGTGATACCAGCTTTCCTGTCCCAACTTTTAAAGAGAACATTGACCAGCAGAAGAACAATCTGTGTGTAAAACGTGACTCAGGTACGGAGTTTTAACCATAATTTTCATATGAAGTCTATAATATTCTAGAGAAATGTACATTTTTTTTCATCCATGTTATTTCATTCATAATAACTAAATTATATTTTGATGCACAGAGTATATGCTTCTTGTATAATAGAAATTATTCTTAAAAATCAGTATTTACTGTCCAGTATCTACATCATACATGTCAAACTGGTAAAAAATAATATACTACTATCTATAATTCTACAAATAATGATAGAAAATAGAATTAGTTTTTCGTGTAGTTCAAGTTTTCTATAAAAAACAATTTTTTTTATATATTTGGTATCACAACTTTCTCCTTTCAATAATTTTCACAGGTTTTTATTTTTATATTTTTTTACTAGTTGCACATGTGTATAATATATGAAACCCCCCAATTACATCTCTGGACCTTGTGCTGGCACCTGGCGCCCAACCCTCAGCTGCCTCTCTCAAGCATGTGTACTGGAGGAAACTTGTCTTTAACTTGCTTTTAGCAGAAGAAATAGTTTCTACTACAGTCTACATGTACAGAAGTTATGGTATTTATACACTGTGTACAAAATTTACAAAATTGTGCTGACAGATCCACCTTCATGCTAAACTGGTCATAAAAGAGCTAAATTTAGCAATAATGAGATTACTGTACTTAATAAAACAAAAATAAAATAACCCTTTAAAATAGCATTTACACTGCATTCAGACAATATCTACATAAGCTCTCAAACTTAAAAAATTAAATGTGCTAATTAAAAAATAAATAGTAAAAATGATACCACAGACTTAAACCTTGACTTCTATACAATGATATTTTCTCTAAATGCAAAAATCTAACATAAGGAATGAAAAACTACTACAAGGCAGGTCTTGACAAACAAGGACTTCATCTTCCACCTAGTCACTGGCACAATATAAATACCACTCACTCTTTTTCTCAAAAAATTATCGTTTCAACGTCAATACTTAATAATTGCACTATTGATGTGCCCAATTTCATGGACTTCTGATATATTAATATCAAGCTCACCATCACACAAAAACTGTGGTGGGAATATAGATTACATAAAACCTAATTTGGACAGCATAGAACACTTCGATTGGCCCTCATATAATTTGTGTACACGATGCCACTTTGTTGAGTAAACCTTCCCCGGGTCATGAAGAGCAAGAGGGAGGTAACCACTAATGTTACCCTACATGACAGGATCCTGATGATTAGTTGAAGTTCCCTTTTGTGAAAACCTCACAAGCTTTACAGGTTCTGGTGGTCAGGTAGTCTGATGTCGTAGAGGATCTGTGCAACTGTCCGCGACGACTCCATTGTGCTGAGCGCTACGTTTGCTAGCTCAGACTCGTATCCTCGCAGTAATCTGAAAATTAAAAGCCGTTCGTTGTAAACAAAGTCAACTTATAAAACAGGAAAGAGAAAATGACAAACATTAACAAAATCCACAATAAAGACATTCAGTGTGAACAAATATTGTACACAATATCAAAAGATTTTCAATTGTCATTTATGTTGACAAAATCCAGTCATGACATTTCTGAGTGAAGAAAAATAAGTTCAATTGATATTAAAAAAAAGTTTGATGGCATACTGTATATGTGATCTCCAAGATATGTGATAAGGTATAAGTTGTGAGTAATGGGTGGTGTTGATGAATGAACAGGTGACTTGAAGTGAAAAAGGTGAACTCGGAAGATTTCAAGATTTACTGATAAAAGTGATTTAAGTAATATACTGGAGTACTGTGATAGTCGCCAGAGGTGTGACCAGCTGCATGAGATGTAAGAATTTTTCGATGACAGTGATGTTTTTTAAAGTTCACTATGGGGGACTTCGAGGTTAGGATGCTGCTGTAAACTAATGACACCTATGATAGTTGAGACGGCAAGAGGAAGATGACATTGTGATAATGCTTAAACACATCCACCCACCCATAAACAGAGACCAAATGGTTACAAAAATAAAAATGTAGTGTATTTATGTGTGTACTGTGTTCCCGTCATTTATGATTCAGAAAGTAAAAAAAGGTTTGATTGGGTTTAAAATTTCTGACAGCAGAAACAAAAATTACAATTTAAGAAGGTTAGAGTATATGCTATTTGTAGATCAACTCTCAGAGGTAAGACTACTGCACTCACTTTTTCCCTGTATTAGAATATATGACTAGGTTTCTAAGGATCAAAGCGGCAGTCAGGCGAATACTTTTCGTCACAGGACCTTCCTTCTCCTGCAAAGAAACATAAAAAATATGTCAGGGATTCACAGATAATTAATATACAAATTATACAGTACAGTGTATAACCTAGATATTTTACAAGGTTATAATCTATAGCACAGATCAACAGAGGTAGAAAAAGTGCCGCTAAGTGACGAATGTTTATGGATAAGTTAATAAACACCCCATGCAGCTACATATCCCGAGTCCTAAGTGAGTATCATTGCACATTATATTAGGGCGTAACAGCCAGACTGATTCCAAGTTATGCCGCCAGTACCAGGGGACACTTACCACCGCATCTCTCTGGTTGATGACTTCTAGGGCATGTCTCTTAATGGCATGGAAGGCTGCATTAGGCGCATACCCGGGGTGAGGCGGCGGCGTCTGGGGGATAGGTATGTCAGTCTTCCCCGTCGTGGCTAACTGTGACCGTCTTACTGCCAGGATCTGTAGGAGCTGCCAAAAAATTCACACTCATTAGTGCCGTGTAGGGTGTATACAGCACATCCTCTGGACATACGACTGGCAAGGACTAGAACTATATGCCCGTGTTAAATTCCAGACGTTCCACTGTGGTTCCAAAGATCTGAATTTACGGCAGTGGTGAAATGTTAGGTTAGATTACAGGGAATAACTCTATACAATGAAACCTCCATATAAGGAACTTCTCTCTGCATATAATCCATTAGATGGAGGTTTCTTATCTGATGGGCTCTAGACATAATGGACTTTCCTCTCTATATAGTCCATTAAATAGAGGTTTCACTGTACTGTATTGTGCTCAAATTCATCCTGCATTTTAGATTTCCTTACAATACAAATACTTTAACAAACCTTCCCCTACTATAGTGAATGGGATTAAGAACTAAACAGAGAATGTCCCTTCATTCTCCTCACTACTGTTATAAAACATTGGTCAGCACTGTGTTTGTGGTTTACCTCACGCTGCAAAATGTTAAAACTAAAATAAAAATAAATAAATATATAAAAATTGAGCACTGTGTACAATAGTTAAACAGCCTGGGAACCTAACAAGCCAATTTAACGACCCGTGAAGTAAAGGAGTTTAGGAAAACAGTTCACTGTTCTCCACGGGATAACTTTGTGTATAACCTTACTGACTATACTGTGGGTAGGGCAGGAGAGACAGACAGAACACATTATGCCCTTCCACTAATATGAGGCATTAAAAAAAATATCAAATAAATAAAATGAAAGTATGAGCACTCAGGACCTCTGTATGACAATGGACGTAAAATAATCCTTTAAAACTACTGTATATAATTTTTATGACCCAAAAAAAACTTGCTATGTTATAATTAAAACTTGTTACATTAACAACCTTTACAGCACGTACAGTACAGACAGACAGACCTTAACGAGAGCTTTAGAAACAATGGAAGCATAAATAGTGTCATGCCACATACGGAGTCCATGGATTTGTGTATGAATTCATCTACAAAGTCTTCTGCTGGGTGAACATACTGCAGGAGTGGTAGCTGGGGGTACAGTACTTTCCTGTGTTTTTGGTGACATTATATAACTGTTTAATAAGATAAGGTAAGAGAACTGTATTGCTCTTGAGGAAGTAATGAATGAAAAAGTACAGTAGTTTGCCTCAACAGTCATCGAGTACCGTACTGTGGATGTCTGTACTGTTTGCTTTTGTTTTCATCTACATATAAGACACCTCATGAAACAGCCAGGCCCAACCCCAAAAATACACGTACCTCTTCCTCCAATATTTCAATGGGGACATAACCCTGATATATATATATACTATAAATACATTGAATAAGAACTGAACTGAGATCATATAATTAAGATTTGAAGCTGCATTCTAAATTTTGTATCAATATACAGAGACTTTGTATCAATATACAGAGACTTTGTCAAGTTACTGGACAAAAGCCATAATGTGTAAAGGGTAACCCAATATGACTCAATCCCTAATACAATATGGCAGGGAGCAACATAAAACATGAAGTGATCACATGAGGTTCACCTCCTAGACAAGAGAATTTTACACCAGTAGACACCAGGGGTATTAAAACAGTTCTTCCTCTACTTCATAAAGGTTTCTAGTGCTGCAGTATCCTTGTCTGAACAGCCAGGGTTAAGTTAAATGTTTATCTGTGACAATCAGAATCATTTTTGTCTGAAGTTGCTGGTACTATACATCTACAAGCTTTAACTTTCAGCCACTTTGTCCTTGTTCCAAAGTCCCTCAGCTGAACACACACACACAGACATAAATGAAATTCAAAGCCTTCAAATTCTCCAAGTAAGATTGGCTAATATGCAAATACTGTATCAGGTGAAAGCAAAACACTGCCATCAACAATAAGTACACTCAAAAGTTTGCCCACAGGTTCCACTTCACTATATTCCAAGACGACCGTGTCAGATGGACAGTTATATCAACAGGAGAGCAGTTATCTTTACACTTCCTGCAGTAAAAAGTCATGCACATCTCAGTCCTTCTTAAATGAAAGTTACTTCCGTATCTAACCACACTGTGAAACAATATGACACCATAGACGTGGGATTTTGACAACCCTACCGAGACAACACGAGTCATATTGATCATCACGAGGGAAAGAATATAAATAAGCCATTAAACATGGTGTTATATCATTAAGGTGAAGAGTGTCATAACTTTAGACCTAAATTCAAAGTAATTTTTAATCACTCTGCTGTGACATCAAAACCACACCTGGCCACAGAAGGCTACAAAATTAAGCAACTTATAAAGGCACCCACAGGCTTTACTCTCAAAGTTACTATTATGTATCATGGGGGTTTACGTTAATGTTATTTTCCTAATGTGTTTTTGTTGGAATGAGAAGACTGAAGTAAAAATGTTGAGAAGATGCTGACAATGAGGACAAGGTTCATGACAATACAGTACTGTACCCAGATGACCAAGGGGCAAAAACCTGCATTTGATCTATGACCTCTACTGGTAACTTTAACTTGAGATCCCCGGAGTCGACTCTTTCTTCATGACACCAGTGATGATACACATTAGATTCGACCTTTGAACCATGACCTTAAATCTCGATCAACAGTAGTAGTGGTTTTGTTGTAAAAGTCTTGACACAAGATACCAAAACATGCAAAATAGGGGCAACCACTACTAATATATCTTCCAAAGGCACATCTAAGAGGTATAAAGACTCAGAAAATATGAGATTTTCTGGAGCAGTCTACAATGATTTGGGAGGAATCACAACAACTGTCACCTTCACTAAACATGTGATGATCGTGGGTTATAAACTATACAAGCAGTGTCCTCAGGTTAACAGCTTTCTTTGGGAGGAACACAACTTATAGTGAGACAGAGGGGCCAACAGATGACATAGTTCATGAAAATGTCCCTCCACAGTCCTGGCTCAGTTAACAGTTCACACAAAATGACACTTTTCATTATTTTTATGAATATAACATCTAACACAAATATGTATTTAAAATACACAATGTAGGTCGCCCTACTGTAACTCAAGCTAACTGGCTATTCTGTAGACACAAGTCTGAGGCTGACAGGGTGCCCCAACGAGAGAAATATCAGCCCAATGGTCCAACAACTGTACAGTACTGTACTCATTATAATATAATATACCTAATAATGGTTGACTTTTTTATAACAAGTACTCTATACACCACAAAACTGAACAGTAATTTACCTCCAGAATTTCAACAGAGGAAAAGGGGGGAGGAGAATAGTACACACTTGTTCAGTAAAAAAAAAAAAAAATCGTTCCTGGTCCCAACATTTCCAAAGTTGTGCTGAACATCATTTACAAAGAATAATGATTAAACATAATACTGGGGGGGGAGAGGGGGGAGTTCCTTGGTACGATCATAATGTATTTTATAAATAGCTACTCCCGTACTACATCACGAAACAGGAAAAACTCCACAAGTGTGTTAATGGACCAATGAACAACTCTGGGTTACGCTTGTCACTTAACTATGACGAATAAGATCCACCTAACTGAGAGGGGTACAGCTTGCAAGATGTAATGCAGATTCAGGTGCCTTTGTCCCCCCCCCCACCCCCCCTACACACACACACACACACATTCATCCTTGACCACTGAAGGGTCAAGACATACCTGGCACTCCTCTGGGAGCAGCCAGGTCAACTGTTATGTTGGCCCATACTAACTCTCTCCCCTGAACCCTCCTCCCCACTGGAATATCAACACATTCTCGCCCAGAAGTTACAATTTAATTTAGGAAAGGAATGGAACCAGTGTTGAACAGAGGGGAACAGTGCTTAAGTCAGTGAGAACAACTCAACAGAAACAGCCGAGTCATACCCGAGTTAACCTTCACACAATGAGGTCCCAGGTACCCAGTGATAACTGCCCATGAGACCCAACAACAACCAGCGATGTGTTAATCCGTCTACGATAGGAAGGCCTAGGACAAAACCTCACTCATATAACACCATCTGTGAGAGATTACTACACCACGTCAGGCCCCTCATAACACCATCCGTGAAGGAATTATTACACCTGTGATGCCCCTCATAACACCATGTGAGGGAATTACTACACCACGTCAGGTCCCTCATAACACCATCTGTGAGGGAATTACTACACCACGTGTGGTCCCTCCTAACACCATCTGGGAGGGAGTGACTACACTCCATGTTTGCTGTTCAACACCTACATTAATCTGTATGTTCACTGTATGTTCCTGTACCTTTCTCTAATGAAGGCTTTTGTTAAACCACCAATGTCAATGTATGTAATAAGTCATTTATGTCCAATGTATATTTTCAGCCTTCGGGCTGCAGAACTTTTTTCAATAAACCGTTAATTATAATTCTCTCCCACCTGACTCATCTTCTCTTCATCCTCACTCCTATGGCTCCCCAATAACTACCACTACCACCACCCACTCCCATCTCTGTTAAGTACAGTACTGTTCCTCAACTAGAACATTCAATCTCATTATTCTACAACTAAAGCCACATCACTGCCACCACTGTACTGATCCAAGTGTCTTCATTCATATCACATATTCAAAAAAAGCTCCACCTTCAACCCAACAGCCCTGACACACACACCTGCTCCTTTAAACATTTTCCCTTTTTTTGTAATTTCTTTCATCGTCACACAAACTCTGGACAATTATCTCTGCTGTTTATCTTATAATGAAAAGTGCTTCCCAAACACTTCTGAGGTCTTTAATCTTTGTTGTCGATCTTATCACCACACGATGACCTTCACGTTGTTCCACTTTTGTACATAAGACTAAACTAATTTTCCATTATCTTGTACTGTAGTTTATGGTTTACCACACTGAACATTCATCAACCCTGAGAACATTAACACACACTGCCTCACATAACTAAAACTTGACCTACATGGATACGTTTCTACATATGTTCTGTCAAACTGTTTACTGTATCTCGGCACCAACTTTACTACAGCTTCTCTCAAGACAACATACAGTACACTCGCTCCAAAGAACGATTATGCTGTATGTGAGACAACATGACACAACAGACAAAGGATTTTGACAACATTACTGAGACAACAGGAGTCGCGGTGTTTGCTTTTAAATTCATCTGACCCCTTCGCGAAGATACCTTTTGAAGTGAGTGTACACCACATTTTTTGTTTAACAATAATTCATCTAATTAACCTTAAGAATTCTTCAGCAAAATTTCAACTTGGACTTCTAGCACTGTTAGCTATGTGTAGGTAAGTAAAATACACATATTTAAATGTCAAGATGGATGACATCAATAATATGTGAAAATAAGACTTTTGATTGGTACAATACAGTATAGAGAAAACAAGGAACTATGAAGATGTGTCAGCCACCTGGTTCTGGGTAATACAGCACTGTTAAAGAGCTTGTGGGGAAAACATAACATGAAGGTATGGCAAGAAAACCCTAAATCCCAAAGAGAAAAGTTTGTAATTCTAGTTCTCAGATGTTGATTTTTGCTTGGCCTACCTGTATGTGTTGAGTATAAAATGTAAGTGGTTCCAGAGTATATAGCGGAACAGTGTAGGTTACTTCAGAGACTTTTTCTACTATCATAAAGAGAGGTTACAAACACACACAAGGCCGAGTGTTTGACAAGGTGGCACACTTACCTGCTCATTACAGTGTCTGTCGTGGAGATGAGTCATGGCACTAAACCTCCGTCTGACCATGGGGTCGCAGCCTGCCCAGCCACATTGTATCTCGGCAAAATGTGGAGGACAGTGGACTTTGCAGGCATGGTGGTAAACCTGACCTGCACTGCTGAACACTTGGCTACAGCCCCGCCATTCACATAAATACTGTAATCCACTCGGTTTTCCGGGACGTCGCGCCACGCCAGACGATAGCACCTGTGGGGCAGGGACGTGCGGCGTTTGAGGCCCCTGACTCACTGAAGTTTGTGACACTGGAACAGCTGTTGGACCAGCTGGGGCAGGAGCAATAGCAGTGGGCAAAGTAGATGAAGTCTGTGCACTGTATGTTGTCACACTACTGCTGCTACTACTACCAATAGAACTCTGAATCTGGACAGTAGGAGGGGTGGGGGTGGTACGCGTTTCTGCAATGGGGGGAGCTGTATGCACAGTTCTCACTGCTGTCGTAACAGTGGCAACCGGCAGCGTCGTCCCCGACGAGACCACTTGTACAATTTGTTGTCCGGCCATTTGACGCGGTATTACCAGCTGCTGGCTCTGGCCGCCCTGGTGCTGGTTACCCGACAGCACCATCTTAGGATTGGGCAATATTATCAATGTCTTGGCCGTGGAGCCCTGCTGCTGAGGAGCCAACAGTACCGTACCACCCACATTACTAGGCATCATCACTTGACCACTTTGACCTTGTTGTCCACTAACTACTACAGGTTGACCTTGATTGCCAGCTACAAACATTGTTTGGCCTTGGGCACTTGACACTACCACTTGCTGTTGTCCCTGATTGCCTGGGACCACCACTGTTTGACCTTGGTTACCACTCATCACTAATTGGCCTTGGGTATTATTTCCTTGTACAAATACTTGTCCCTGACAATGTGGAACCCCCTGCATGATCACTTGTCCCTGAAAGTTGTTCCCTCCCTGTACTAGAACCTGATGTTGGCCACTACTACTCTGAGAGAGGATCATTTGGCCTCCTAACACCTGTTGCAACTGTCCCTGATGAAGGATGACTTTCTGAGTTTGTCCTGACTGTCCTTGCTGGAAAACCTGCTGAATAACTTGTCCTGCAGCTGCACCCTGAATTATCTGACCGCCCTGCTGCATGAACACGCCAGCCTGTGTGGCCGGCCGCTGGAGGATCACTTGGCCTTGGGGCGTGACGACTGTCTGCGTAGTCGTTCCCTGTTGTTGTCCGGCTAATAACGCCTGACTCACGACCATCTGCTGTGGAGCGGCACTGTTTGACGGAACGAGTTGTTGTCCTTGACTTAACACCACTTGGTGTCCTTGAGAAATCACTTCACCACTTTCACTCCCGTTCTGGCTGACGTACAATGTGATCCGACTATCAGTGCCAGCTCTTGGGTCCTCCAGGGCTATCCTCTTGGCAGGAGCATTGTCAGGGGTTGCCGGTCTCTTCACTCCCTGACCAGATTCAAGTCCTGTTTGACCATTAGTAGTTAACGGTCCATTAATTTTAATTTGCTGGCCATGATTCACAAATTCCAGTCCTCTATCACTAATTCTTAACTCACGATCAACCACACCGTTTAATATATCTCCACCGACCGTTTTTTCCAACAGATCCGCTAACACGTTCTTTTTGGTATTTGATTCTAATTCCTCTTCCTTCACGTCTACATCTGATTTAATTCCATTTTGTAATATTCCTTCAAAACTTGTTACCTTTTTGTCATTTAGTCCAGAGGAAAGAAAGGAATTGGAATCATCTTCACATCTTTTTATCTGTAAAAAGGAAACACTTAATTAGTTTATGAATTAAAAGACAAATGTTACTACAGCACAATAACATGCTAAGGCCCTCAACTCAACCAGCTGTAATGCAGGTTTTTGCATACTTTACAATCATGGACAGCAGTTCCCTCCCTGGGGTGAAACTGACTGACATCTGATGCTGGTGTGTTGCTCTATCTCATTTAAGGTCGATACTGCTTCAGTTTGGGAGGGAGTGAACTTTTTACCCCAACTGTACATAGATAAATATTGTCCCAATGATCATGGAGAAATATTGTAGATCAATCATTTAAAAACAAATTCATGAAAAAAATTAAATAAAAAATAAATAAAATAGTTTATGAATGAAAATAATGGCAACGCACGACAGAAGGTTGAAATAAACAGACGGCTTGCCTGTACCGGGTTCTTGGAGGCGAGAGATGGAGGGATGGCTCGCAGGAATCGTTAGCTTACCGAGACCTAACCCACTCCCATCACCTACAGTGCCCTAAATTTATTTCTCCAGACAAGAGGCTTTATATATGATGAACAAATACACAACACAACTACTGTACCTCCATAAAAACCTGCCCAGTTGAGGCATAAATGATATAATTCCTGAAGCAAAACACTGAAACAGGAATCAATATACAGGTGCTCCTCTACTTACAAACATCATCACTGAGGGGGGGGCTACCTGCTAGAACAGCTGTTTAATGTGGATGAGACTGGATTATTTTGAAGAAAATTCCAGATAGAACAAACATTACCTAAGAGAAGAAGAGTGAGCCAGGTTTAAAAGGGTGCAAGGCTGTATTAAAGGGTATAGCTGTACTAAATATCCATAATCTTTTCAATTTTTACAATATGTTTGGTATCAACAAGAGTAAAGTTGGACTTACAAACAAGCCTTAGGAACGTAACTCGTTCGTAAGTAGAGGAGCACCTGTACCATAATAATTCTTGTATATAAATATTATGAACCGTGTTGAATTGTATACCTGCATCGTCTATATACAGGGTGAACTATATACCTGCATTGTCTATATACATGCTGAACCAACTGTAAACCTGTATCATAATTTTACAATCTAAGACTGAAGAACTCTACTGGTAGCACTGGTAACCGCATAAATGGTACAGCAGATGCCTACACTACTCAAAGAGAAATCCACATAGACACCAATACCGAGGGAGACCAAGCGACTGTCTCGTGTCACTCACCTCGTTACATATCCCATTAAAGGAGGTAGTTTTTCTGAGCTGTGAATCGCTGCTGCTGTCTTGGCTGTTATCCGTGTGCTGCTGCTGTAACTGCTGCTTTTGGATATTTCGTGACACCTGCAACAACCAGAGCTATGGTTACTCTTTAATGCAACACGAGAGAGAGAGAGGCGCTGGTAAATACAGTAAGTTCATATAACATCAGAAAATCATAATGTCAATGGTATTTTTTGTTACAAATAAAAAAATAAAAAAAGTCGTAAAAACACAGAAAAATCCCACTACATATTGGTACCATGTTAATTAAGGCTGCAATCATTAGTATAAGAGCGATGTGAAGAGGAAAGAGTTAATAGATCATAAGTCTTTATAAACAGTACAATACAACCATCAATCAATCCTTCAAGTACATAATCAACCCCGTCACACAAGATGATTAGCATTCCATGGAAGACGAGCAATATATTAATCACTGAAAAAAGTCCCAAGTTAATCAATAATATTACACAGAAGTATTATCATTATCAGGAGGTTTCAATTACATGAGACAGTAGCTACAGTACATGCAGCACACACACACACACACACACACAAGTTGCTCCCAAACCACCACCGCCGCCACCATTCCTCGTGTGACAAGGGAGGAACAAGACCAGACCAGACCAGAGACACAGGCCAGCACCAGGCACCAAAAGCTGCAGTACAGCCACAGGGGGCAGGAGCAGCAGGTGAGCAGCAGTAGCGTAGCTTCCCTTCACCGACAGAGCCCGGCTCTTCTTGTTGATGGGTAGACAACAGTGGTGTTACCTGAACTGGTGATGGCTGGTGTGGTCCGTGCTGGCCCCCAAGACCCCCTACATGCCCCCCCGACACTACCTGCATCCCAGGGGAAGACCCCATACCAGTAGGACTGAGCATGGGTCCCAAGGGCCCCGGAGGACCCTGGGATAGTGCTTGTACATATGATACAGCACCCGTGGTCCCCCTGGGCTGCTGTGGTGCGGAGGAAACCAGGAGGGGTCGTGAATGGGGAGACTGGTGCGGGTGGAGAGGGTCCATGCTGCCTGCCTGACATACTCCCACTGGAGTTACCTTGTTGGCCAAAAGACTCTTGATTAAAGCAGAATTATCTGTTCTGTTGCCTCCTTGAGCTTGCTGCTGTGGGAACTGTTGCTGCTGTGCACTGCTATACACACCTTGAGACATGGTACCACTCACCATGCCCTTCAATGCAAACACAAGTCCCTTATTAGTCACCTGACCTTCAGTATACAACAAAATTACTAGATACAAAAAAGAAAAAAGAAAAAAATATAAATATAGAGAAATGTTACCTGTGGCGGTCTGGCAGGCGGCGGTGGGGACGGTCTCAGTGGTGCCGACAGCTGGGCTTTCAAGATGGGTGATGATGGTGATATGATGCCATCAGTCTGAACTGTGGTCGCTGACACCAGCTGGGGGGAGGCAACAATGGTTCCCACAGTTCTTCCCTCACTCGACTCGGTCTTGATGGCAGGAAGGACAGGGGTCGGTGTATACACAGGGACAGTGCTGTTTATTCTGAAGCCCTTCTTCTTCTCGGGCATCGGTGGAACAACAATGCCGTCACGTCTTCTGATGCCATTATAGTGCCACTTCTCTGCCCCTTCATCTACAGGTCGTCGACTGGGACCAACACCAGTCCCAAACACTTTTCTATTTTGCAAAGTAAGATAGTCACAATTTTATTCTTATTCATTTACCTTTGTCCTACTACAACTCACTTTATTCAGTTTTGCTTTCCTATACAATCAAACCACACACACACTACTTTTTCCCCTTACCCGTCATTCACTTACAAGCTGTTTCCCACATTTCACACCTGATCATCCTGGCTGCATTTTGTCATTCATTTCTCTTCTACTAAAATTATTCCTTAAGGAACTGTTCACTATTCCTGTACAGTACGTATACCACTTATGGAAAACCATCACGCATTTCAGTCCAAAACTACGACCGTTACCAAACAACAAGCTTATTCATTACCTGTAAGTCCGTATGTTACGATACTTTGGTAAGGTATAACCTAACTTTCGTATAATATTAACCAAAACAATTCGTGGTCCCAAGTGTTGTAATTTGCGGTAAAAAAAAAAAAGCCTTTAATACCATCTGCCCCCACCTCCCTGTTACGAGTCACCTTTGCAACTTGTAACTATTATCTGGATTGAGTTGACAACTGTACTGAAGAAGCAGTTTGGTTATCAACTTAACCCCCAAGTGAACTCCACAATGTATCTTACCTTACACAATTCGACAGAAGTACAGGATTGAGTCCCTGTTTCCTGCCCATAGAATGCATAGAAGCCGCAAAATGGCGATACACTATTGCTTGTTCTATGGCGTTTCCATGGCAAGCTTCATAGTTCTTGGTAACCCAGTCTTTAACAAAATCCTCCACTTCTGGGGGAACCTGTGAATATAATTCATGTCAAATATAACTTAATCAGCTAACGGATTATAATTTCCAAATCAAATATACAGTATAGAGTGTATATATTTTTTTCAATACTGTACCAGTAAATGTAGGAAAAATAAATAAATAAATAAATTTACTCACTATTCGACTTGCAAGTTTCTTTGGGTCACCACCTGTAACTGGTGTAGCAGCTGCGGAAACAGCAGGTGCTGCTGCTGTGGTGACGGGTTTAGTGAGGGGGGTCTTGGAGGCACCAGTTGTAATAGGTGAGGAATGGATGCTACTGACAGGCACCGCTGGGGTGGCAGAAGGAGGCGTCGGTGTGGACAACGAGGAAACGCTAGCAGGGGGAGCCGGGGTGGGAGGTGGAGGAGGATTCACCGGCTCTGGTTCACTTACTACCCCAGTCACAGTTTCTACAACCTGAAGAAATATAAAAAATACATCAATCATACATTATATCAACTACGGTTGTCTTAAAACTGAGCAAGAACAGTGAACCAGTTCTGTGGAGGCAACATATAACAGGTCATCTGGAGACAGTCAATACCCTACACTGTACTTCACTTTGTAACAAACCTTGAGAGCTCCTGTACCTTAAATCATACAAAAAAGCATATCCTGCTTACCTTCATGCCAATACAAGCTTCAGGTCCATAACTTTGTGCTTCTACAGTTAGTAGAGAGATGAGTGTGTGGATTGACCCTGTTGCTCGCACTATGGCATTACATGCTTGTGTTCCCAAGGACGATAATGAATACAGACACTCCAGAGTGTATATCAACAGCATTATGTCATGGATCGTAAGGTACCTGCAGATTTGCCCATATACCTGCAAAAGTTTATGGTGCATTAGTAAAAACAGATAACCGACAAATGAACGAGAATTACCACAATTATGTCACGTTGAGAAATATCATAACACAGCAAGTAAATTTACCGGAGAATCAATATTGTTACTCAGGACTTCTTCGTTGGGGTCGTTCATGGCCAGCTTGTTGAGGACCTCCAGGCATCTGAGGACGAAGGCTCTATCTGGCGAGGACACGCCCTGACATACGTGCGCTAATAATGAAGCCGAACACGAATCAATTTTAGGGTCGCGTAACTTGACTTCGGGCGCGATATTACCCAGGGTGTCCAAGGCATTGACCGCCAGCCCTCCCCACCGTGAACATATACACAAAACTAAAAACCTGAAAAGAAAACAAGAGAATAAACTTTCCATTTCGTCTGTAGCATTACCGGCACCCACCACAAATTTTCCAGAGTTACAGCAAACCATAAAAGTTTATTACTGAATCGTATGATTACTCAATAAATTGCTTTATTTATCTTCTTTTAATTTAAATCCAACTTTAGTTTAGAATAGACTATTCAATATTACATACAATACAGAACTATTGGTCACATTACATGCAGGGAAAGGAGATAATTCGTTTGTGGTATTTATGGATAGAGGAATGTATGCGACTGGCACGCAAGCACACACAGACTCACCTGAGGCATGTTTGAGACTTGGCAAGGCTTGCTACATTTTGCTCTTCAAATGATAAGTTGCGAATTATGTGAAGGATTTGACTTATTCGTGTCCCCTCGGGATCCTGCGTCCCGAGATCCCGCCCTAAGTGAAATATTTCTCCGTCCTCTTTCGCAAGCTTGAGGTCACTCCCTTCACATTCTAGAACCTGTAAGAGAAAACAAAAGACCTTGAAGAATCAGTATGGAACTCACCAATTCTAACGAGACACACTAGTACAGTATGTGCTCTCATGCTCCACACTACCAAATAAGACTATTACTGAATTAAACTTATCTTGGGTGATGAGGTAAACTGTCTGAGAAAAATTCACCCCAAGAATAATGAGGATGAATCTATTAAAGAAATAATCTCGGGGTGATATTAATACTTCCAAGCTCCCGAGAGACACTGAGGAAACCTTTCATCATGTACCTTTTAATACATGTGCCTATCTTGAAATTCAGGTGTACGCACTCTCATACACACACACACACGAAAGTCACCTACCCGAGTCTACCAGTTACCTATTTTTTCTACCTACTCGTCATGGTCATCCACGTTGGGCATTATGGTCCTCAACTCTGTGTTAACATATATACAGTGACCCCTCGTTTAACGAACGCCTCAGTTAACGAAATTTCGGTTAACGAACTGCCTTCCATAAGGATCTTCAATTCGGTTAACGAAATTCATACGAACCGACCTCAATATGTTTTCGCTTGCACTGACCGGGCAACCAGCTTTAGTATCAGTCCGCCAATACATTAATCGGTTCTAGGGCTTAAATTCCTTACTATTTTAGTAAATATCAAGAAGTTTATACTATTCAATAATTTTTAAAAGTTTAATATTCAATTTTTTAGCCATTTTAACAATTATTGAACATAATTGAAGGTAAAGTGACCAGTTTAATGCGCGGCATCCAGCCTATTAACACAGCAAACAGGCATTAGTCTCTCTCTGTTTTCACTGGAGGTAACATCTTGCTTGAGACACTCTTCAACTAAACACTTTTTTCTGTGTTTCCAAGCAAATTATTGGTCATTTTGAAATATATTTTACATATTGACAATATATAATGCAGTGCAGTGTTGATTTAAAGAAAATAATCTTGAAATACACCAAGAACTAAAATTTTATGGCTGAAATGGTGCCATGGGGTGACTTCTCTTCCACCCCAATGCCTTCTCTTCTTCCTTCTCCTCCACCCGCATTCTAATCCCCATCATCATCATCCAGGAGCCTTCTACATACACACCTCAAAGTAAGTGAACTTTTCTACCATTTTTGTTGAATTTAGGAAATTTTCGGTGAGCTGGAACCAATTACCCAAAAACCCATTGAAACAATGGTTTCGGTTAACGAACGACCTTCTGGAACGGATTGAGTTCGTTAACCGAGGGGTCACTGTATTTAAAAGAATAAAACCAATTATCTGGCCTGAAACTTGAAGCCACTAACTTTCAAAGGCTATGCTATACTCTCACCAAGTACAACAGATTAGTATAGAGACTATACATGCTCGACCTAAATTTCATTCTATTGGATACAAATTAAATTTATGACTGGGATGACCTGATGTGCAATTGAAGAATGAATCTGTATCTTATCACCCAAATGAAAATGGCACTGGCTGGGTACTACAGGTGAATGGGTGAACGATCCACTAGGTACTACATGTGAATGGGTGAACGATCCGCTGGGTACTACAGGTGAATGGGTGAACGATCCACTGGGTACTGCAGGTGAATGGGTGAACGATCCACTGGGTACTGCAGGTGAATGGGTGAACGATCCACTGGGTACTACAGGTGAATGGGTGAACAATCTGCTGGGTACTACAGGTGAACGGGTGAACGATCCACTGGGTACTACAGGTGAACGGGTGAATGATCCACTGGGTGCTACAGGTGAATGGGTGAACAATCCTTGCTAGAAGCTCACCTCTCCACCACTCTTTGCCTTCACCTCTCATACTAAGGCATGCATCAGAATACAAGTATATTACCTAACCATGATGCCACTACACATCCTACAGTTAATGAGTAACCAATTCTCCTCTTCACAATGCAAAAAATACCTCACTTGAATCACCTTTAAGATTAATCCCATCACCTTATATCTTCCTAATATAAACCGCCCTAATACTACCCCACCAGCAGCATTTGGATATTTGATTAATCACCAGGTAAAATAAGCTTGGGAGACTAATCTTCAGGTGATTCCTTCACTTTATAAAACCTTTGAACAATATTAAACAATGTCCCAATCAAACCACACATCTAAAATGTTTACCACATTGTCTTTCTATCAAACCTTTATCGTGATTTTCCTTGAACCGTTGATGCCATACGGATATTTTTCACTTGTACTCCACTCTGTCCTTTACTACCACACTACAGCACAGTATTTTATCGGGTGTTTATGCCACAGATGTCACGCACCGACTACTACCAGTACTTGGTGTACACTAACTCACACCTCCTGGTCTGCTCAAATTACTTGTCATTCAGCTTTTATCACTCATCCCTTTCCCTTTAAACACAGGCAGGTATCCCCCTGAACCCAGATCCCTTAAATATGAATTCTGCCTCCACCCAGACCACTTCCGGTAGTCTGGATGGACCGCCCCTTCAACACCAACCCAAAGTCCAGTGTGCAGGAAAAACCACAACAGCAAAAACTCAAGTGTGCATGTGCACACAAACACACAGTGACAAGCATGTAAAAGTACACATGCCATAAGGCTTAATTCTGAGGCTATATGACATAGTATACCTACACAGTATTTATAAAGTATATATGCAATAAGTAAGGTATGTCTGACAGATCCTCAGTCTAACAAACTCTGCCTACCATGTCACCTCTTTACATGGTACCGTACATGAAGGACACATTTAACAACAGAGAGACCTCACAACTCTTCATCATGTCTAGGGGGGGTACAGGTATTCACCATTTAAAGTGCTTTCGAGTGGCACCTTTTCACCAAATTCAAAATGCATACCCAGTCAAGAACTGTGGTCAGAGTGGTGCATCCTGAGAGCAAGGTTGCCACTAATGCCTTTTGGTCCCTTGCTATCCTATGTACAGTATGTTCCGCTCACTAAGAGAAGCTCCTAGCAAGAAACCCAAGAAGGTGGTCATGTAAGTGTCAAAAACCAGGGATGGATTTAAGAGCAGTTTAAGACCACTTGTCAAGATGAAGCTGCGCAGAGGCTAAACCAACCAACCAACCAGGCTAATGTAAGTCCACCGGGCATCTGGGTGACGGGGTTCAAACTGGTATACACCCACCTCTCATTTTACACGGGGGTTACGTTCTTGAAAACCACCGCTTAATTCAAAAATGTGTAAATTAAACATAAATTTCCCATAAGAGTACATGTAAATGGTACAGGTTAGGGGAGCCATCATATACCACACAGGGTACGAACAGTGCTCTCACTTAAACCAATCATGCAGCCAACCTCCGACACACGCTCTCCTCTCTGAAGGCGGGTGATCACATTTCATTTCATGTCCATTGCGATTGTTTTTCGTGCCATTTAAGCTTTAGGCGCCCCAGAGGAGGCAGATGGACGTTTTCCAGACATGCTCAATGGGGAAAACAGCATTTAACACTAATAAGGTACGTGATGCACACAATGCAATTAAGAGCAGAGAAAAAGTAGTGCTGGTGTGAATTGAGAAAGTGGTACGCTTTTGGTATTAATTGAACAATCGCGTTATTCCAAAAACGCTCAAATCAAACGCGCATAAAATGCGAGTTACCTGCATACGGTAATATTCAACAAACCACCTTGCCACAATAAAATAAGTTCCCCCAACAATAGAGAGCCTATTGGGTTCACTGATGCCATGTATAAACAACTCCACTAACACTAGCCTGCTTTCTTGTTAGTCATTTTTTTTCATTTCCACATACTGTATTCTAATTTCTGCATTCCATTCATGCCACACATAGCTGTCAAATGTATTGCAAGTCAGAGCTAATTTTTTCTCATCCCCTTAACATGCACCATAATGCCCATGTAATGACGTTGACTTGGCAATTCCCTCGTTCGTCCTCTACTTTCTCCTCCTTTTCACACCCCTCTCTCTCTCTCTCTCTCTCTCTCTATACATGTCTAAACACAATAACAACACAATATCAAGAATTAAGACAATAAAGAGAAGCAGCAACACGAGGAAAATGAACTCACCTTCTCAAGTCGTTTTAAAATGGTATCCTTTTTTAACTTATGTGAGATGATGATGTCTGAGGTTGGTATTCTCCCATATTCACTGTCTGCTAAACTCTCATAACTTCCACTCTGTATTCTATTTTCTACAAGGTTTAGATTAGTTTCACTCGCGACACAAGAGGACCCAGAGCCGCTGCCCCGTAGTATGGTGGGTTCGCACGTGTCCTCGCATAAAAAATTCTCCTTATCAAAATTTTCCAAACTGTCACTGCTCAGGTTATGCACATTCCTACTGTATATAGCACCACTGGTATTAAGTTCGGCCAGACCGCATCTACTTGGGTCTGGCCCCCCCTCCTCCCCCTCGTCTAACAACCGGGGCTGGTCCAGACTGTCGGGGATGAGCAGGTCCAACACGTTCTTGTCACCCAGGGAGTCGATCCAGAACTGTACCAGACTTCTGCTTTTGGTCTCCTTGTATGTTGTGAGGAAATATTTCTGCGTCTCCCCTGAAGGAAAAAGATACACTTTATGAGCGAGTTTTTTTCTCTCCAAGGTAAACAGTACATTTATAGTTTGTTAAGTAGCATTACCATCCTGTACTGGAGTTTTATTAAATGACAATACAATGCTGAGGTTTCATCCTATAAAGAGAAAATTTATTGTTAGCATACAGTGAAACCTCCATATAACGGACTTCTCTCTCTCTCGGTATTATCCGTGATGTGAGGGGTTTCATGAATGGACCCTCGATATAATGGACTTTCATCTCTAATGGACTCTCGATATGACACTTTCATCTCCTTATACTCTGTTAAATAGAGGTTTCACTGTATACAAAAAGAATAAAATAAATTAATATATCAATACATGTAGCAGAATCTTATGTACACTCTCACCAGAAACTTTTCCAATGCTAGAAGCACAATGAAACCTGAAAAATGAACCAAGAATCTGAAACTATTCTCAGATGACAAGCCCCATTCTCACATCCATCATGCCCAGGCATTGGAGAAGTGTGTGTTGAGTGTACATATGGTATGTAGTAAACCTGTACAAATATATCTCCAGTAATTTGAATTTTAAAAATGTCAAATATATAATATTAAGATTTTCAGGTAGCCACTAAAATTAATCAGATGCTTATTTTCTTACATGTGGAACAATGTTGGTAGTTTGCATGACAAGTGCGTAATTATGTCTACCGTGAAAAAAAAAATGCATGTTATTCAGAGGACAAGTTTCAGTCTGGCTTTCATTACTGTATTGGTTAACCAATTCATGTTCTCTCTCATTATCTTTAACTCTTCAAACATTTTCTTACAACTTCACTACAGTATAATTCCTTCATCAACATAAACAGTACAATAAAACTTCCATTTACCAGACATCAATCTAATGGGTATACGTTATGTCGAGGTTTAACAGCTAATGGACTGCACTCTCCCATACTGTCCGTTAAATAGAGGTCTCACTGTAACAATAACAACAATGTAAAAACAAGTGATAACGAAATATTGAGGAACAGAAAAGATTACGGACATTGAACAAAAAATTATATGAACAAAGTTATGACAAACAAGGGAGGTACCGAGAGGCCCCCCTCAGGTGAGCACAACACAATACTCACAATCTCTGAATACACCCGTGTGAGCCAACATGTGCTCGATCAGGCGTGGGCACTGGCTCAACTGCATGACGTGACGGCCCTCATTGCTCAGGATGGTGCCCACGTTGAAGGCAAAGTCATGTTCGTTCGGCAATGGAGACGCCAAGGACAGAGCCAGCTTGTCGTACAGCGATGGTCTGTAGAGAACGGAGGATAACCCGGCACCACCTCTGATTGATTCTGCGGGAGATTAACAGAAAGAGTTAATATATTCGCACACACCAAACACCCAACACAATATATTTCCTGTTAACTGATATACCACAAGACAGACACAGCACCTCAAGAATCTCCACCCCGGCTTATTCCATGTGAAGATTAAACACCCTAATCCTAGACTAACAATAACCTAACATCATCTCCCCAAAAAGTGTTTGGATGGTTAATCTTCAGGTGAGATAAGCTGAGGTGGAGATTTTTCAAGTGAACTGACACTTCTTTTGAGGATATACTGTATACAGTACAACAAAAGCAGGTAGAGGTACTGTACATCTAATCCTCGGTCAAAAGGAATTACACGTTACCAAACTTGCTAAAAGTCGTCCGGTAAAGCATTAAAACTTTGTAAGTGAATGATGGACTATGGATCTTACCCAGTACAAGTCTATGAATACACCGAGTCAAAAAATGCCAAGTGTTAAGTGAGAAAACCTGACCAAACTTGCCTGCCATATCTAACTCAATCCAATCCAATCCCCTCCTACCATAACTCAACCCAACCCTGGTCCTAAACCAACCCAAACCTCTTCCTAACCTAATCCAATCCATCCTAACCTAACTCATCCTAACCTAACCTATACCCTGTACTGTATTGTATTGGCATCTTTGTGTTGATGAGAGAGAGAGAGAGAGAGAGACAGAGACAGAGACAGAGACGGGGGAGACGGGAGACGGAGGGAGGGAGAGAGGGAGGGAGACGGGAGGGAGAGAGAGGAGACGGAGACGGGGAGGACAGGGGACAGGACGGACAGGGAGGGAGACGGGGAGACAGGGAGACAGAGGAGACAGGAGACAGAGGGAACAAGAGACAAGAGACAGAGAGAGAGAGAAGAGACAGAGAGAGAGAGAGAGAAGAGACAGAAGAGAGAGACAGAGAGAGAGAGAGAGAGAGAGAGAGAGAGAGAGAGAGAGAGACAGAGAGACAGAGAGAGAGAGAGAGAGAGAGAGAGAGAGAGACAAGAGAGAGAGAGAGAAGAGAGAGACAGAGAGAGAGAGAGAGACTAGCCAAAGGACAAAGTCAAAGAAGAGAAGAAAGAGATATAAAAGAGTAGGGAGAGAGAACAAACCCCTTCAGTAACACCTACATAGGCTGACAAATGAACGACACTTTTAAACCCCACAACCAAGACTACCGAAGACGCCTAAATCAAATACTAAGCCTCGATCAATTAAAATACCCTAAAGTACAGTACACACAAAACTATAATAAACAACAATAATAATAGTTTAAAGAAAGGAGAGTACGATATATACAACCCAAACAAACAAAAATACATGAACAATATGTGGGAATAACAACATCAAGATCTTCCCTCACTCTCTCAAACAGCAAACAAACACAGGGAGGGAGGCTGGTCGGCAACTATAGGATCCTCCACCACCTCCTCTCAGTGGGTGACAATCAATAGAGGAGCGGAGGAGCACGCCCCCTACCAACCTGGACCTGGAGGCTGCTGGGGTCGCTTGCTTGCTTGCTCGCGCTCAATGCCCCACACATACACCCATGCACTGACTCATCCACGCATGCATGTACACACACTCGCACAAACACACACATAAATACATACTCACATGTACACAAACAGATACACACACACATGCATACATACATATACACTCATATATATCCACATAAAGACGGACATATGGAAAAAAATCCTTAAATACAATAGCGAAGAAGAAGAAATATAAAAGAAAAAGAAGAAATATGAAAGATTAAAGAAGTATGAAAGAAAAAATAAATAAATATGAATGACCAACAACTGGACCGACAACACCTCCACCTCTCACCCAGGACGTTGTGATGTTGATGGTTGTAACTGAGGGGCACTGTGTTGAGGGACCGTATAGCACGTTTGGTCCGCATCAGTCTGGAGTCCTCGCCGTCGTCCATCTCCGCCCCGCGTTCTTCGCCATCCTCCCCGAGAAAGTTGATACGCTCATACGCATCAAGGTATCTGTCGACAAGAGGAAATGGTGTAATGATTAACCATACAATGTACAGCTGTAGATTTCTATACAATAACGGCTTCAATAACAGTGTAATTAATAACTTATGGTAATTATCACTTCCAATACAATGACGGGTTAAATAACAGTAATGAATAACCTTAGTTATAAATGTGCTTCAATACAATAACAGGTTAAATAACTGCATTGAATAACCAAATGCAGTTTATGTATGTTTGTATACAATAACAACTTAAATAACCGTGTAATTTATAACCAATGCCCCAATCTTACACTACCACACACACACAATAATAATAGACCCGGGAATCTACAAAGGTCTTTTACTGTACATGATAAAAATGATCTAAGCCCTTACAAGACTCTTCCAGTACAGTACTCTGGAGCATCAAGGAGAGTGTGAACCCTCTCCCCCTCCCAGCCCTAGGAGCTGAGAGAGAGGTAAAGGAAAACGAGCGACCAGAGAGAGATGGGATAAAAAATAGAGGAAGAGAGACAAAGGGGAAAGGAAGAGAGGAGCAGAAGGGAGAGGAAGGAGTAAAAGAAAGTAAATGGGGAGAAAAGGGAATGAACGATGAAGGAAGGAAGAGATAAAACGCCGTGTGTGTTGGTGGGGGGATTGGAGAGAAGTGGATGAGGAAGAAGTGGAGTGGATGAGGAATAAATGGAGAGGATGAGTGGGAAGTGAAGTGGATGAGGAAGAAGTGGAGTGGATGAGGAAGAAGTGGAGTGGATGAGGAAGAAGTGGAGTGGATGAGGAAGAAGTGGAGTGGATGAGGAAGAAGTGAAGTGGATGAGGAAGAAGTGGGGTGGATGAGGGAAGTGGAGTGGATGAGGGGGAAGTGGAGTGGATGAGGAAAGTGGAGTGGATGAGGGGAAGTGGAGTGGATGAGGGGGAAGTGGAGTGGATGAGGAAGTGGGTGGATGAGGGAAGAAGTGGAGTGGATGAGGGAAGAAGTGGAGTGGATGAGGGAAGGAGTGGGGGATGAGGGAGTGGGTGGATGAAGTGGGTGGATGGGGGAAGTGGGTGGATGAGGAAGAAGTGGAGTGGATGAGGGAGAAGTGGGGTGGATGAGGGGAAGTGGGTGGATGAGGAAGAAGTGGGTGGATGAGGGAAGAAGGGGTGGATGAGGAAGAAGTGGTGGATGAGGAAGAAGGATGAGGAAGAGGTGGGTGGATGGGGGAAGTGGAGTGGATGAGGAAGAAGGTGGATGAGGAAGAAGTGGAGTGGATGAGGAAGAAGTGGGGAATGAATGAGGAAGAAGTGGGGTGAATGAGGAAGAAGTGGGTGGATGAGGAAGTGGAGTGGATGAGGGAAGTGGAGTGGATGAGGGGGGGAATGGAGTGAAGGCGTTATGGTGAGAGAAGATAGGAGGGAGGTGTGAGGAGGGGGTGTGTAAGAGGGGGGGGGGGTGTTATTTCATTCCTTCCGCACCTCTAAACGTTCTTAAAGAGAAACCCGTGTGTGCTTTCTCTCTCTCTCTCCCCATAACGCCTTCACCAGTATAGGATCAAGAGGATCACCTGAAGATTAGACACCCCACCTTATTTCATCTGAGGAGTCCACACCCTGACGCTAATCTAACCTTATTTGACTTAATCTAACCTAACTTGACACTAACCGAACCTGACATAATCTAATGAAACCTAACAAATGAAGTGAACGTTAGCTAATGAAGTGAAAGCCTGTCTCAGTATCTCCGGTTATTATATTTTTAATTTTTATTTCAGGTTTCAGTCAATTACGTACAGTCAAGTCTTACACCTTCTCCCCAGTTGTGTGTGAGTGAAACTATGGGCAAGTTTCTTCACGCCATTTGCCTGTCTACCCAGCAGTAATTAGGGACCTGGATGTTTATCGATTTGCGGATCGTGTTCCGGGGTAATGGTTAGCCGTGCAGTTGGCGAGTTGTCCGGTCTTCTCGGACTATTCCTTGACACCGGGTCAAGCAACTCGTTAACTTAGGGTGCGGTTGTTGTGTTGGCCACAGCTTCTACACCTTAGACAAATTCACGCCTAGGTGGCCCTTGGGCCAGCCGTCCTCATTACACGAGGGCCAGCCATTATTATCATATGTGTGTATATAATGTTCTACTACCTAACAGGAACTGTGTAATTTATATCTATCTGCTAAATACCCTGTTCCTCCTCCTCCTCCTCCTAACGAATCACCCACACATAAAAAACGAGCCACTTCCTACACCGTCCAGGCAGGTTGAGTAGAAATCGATTTTTCTTAGTCAGTGACATTCAATTTTACGTTCGCCTCCCCCTCCCCCCGGGTTGGCTGACGAGTGAGTGTGAGTTTAGTGAGTGAGTGAGTTTTAGTGAGTGAGTGAGTTAGTTTAGTGAGTGAGTGAGTTAGTTTAGTGAGTGAGTAAGTGAGTTTAGCGAGCGACATTCTCCGCCAGTGACAAAATCAGTCAAGTATAGAACTGATGACACAAAAAACTTATGGGTGGTTAGGTTAAACTGCAATTAGGTTATATCTTGAGTCTGTAGTGGAGAGTGAATCGGCTACCTAACATATCATGCAACTCTTCTCCTATAACCCTCCCCCCCCCTACCTCTCGTCTGATAAACTAAACCCCCCCCCCCTCTCTCTCTCTCTCTCTCTCTCTCTTATTTCTCTCCATCGCTATTAATGAGGGAAAACTAGCCAGATACAGTCAGCACAACGAAGAATTTTCTCCCTCGTCCTTCCCTTACAGGTACAGCCAAAGTACTGTACCCGACCTACTATACTGTACAACACAGGGGCGCTTCCTTCAACCGTCCTTCTTTCCTTCCTCCCTTTCACACACACTAATTCTTACCCTTATCCACCTACAGCACTCAATACCACCTGTCCAAGCAGCAGCATACCTAACTTCATAATAAAAAAAAATTCAGTGTGGTTTTAGAATCTGCTGAGAGAGAGAGAGAGAGAGAGAGAGAGAGAGAGAGAGAGAGAGAGAGCAGTACTGTGTATGAGCCCCGGCCGTACGTCAGGTAGCGTTAACTGGACGTGTGAACGAGAGTAAACATCAGTGAGGAGAGGAGAGGGGCCACACACACATGGATCTATACTAGGTTTAAACTGCGCTCTTTATTCACTCCGTCTTATATTTCACGTAATTAATAAAAGATGTTTGGAGTGCGTTGTTAAGGGTGTGTTAGAGCGAGTGTTTGAGGAGACCTGGAGAGTGTGTGTGGGAGAGTACAGTATAGAGGTATTGATCGGTGGCCCGCAGCCTGCTGGTGGTGGCTCCAGACGCACACACGTGAGGCCGGCGAGGCGAGCCAACCTCCACACACACATCCGCACGCGCACAGACATACATACACACACACACACACATACATACACACCTGCCCTCCACCCCCTCCATCCTTCCCGACGTTGTCCCGTTCTACCAGCGTACAGGACAGATCCCCAGACGCCCCCCCACACCAACAACAAAACGCTAAATTTCACCTCCACCAATTTCGCCTACCACCACCATCACCCTGAGCAAGAGGAGGTACGGCTCGCTTGGTCGCCACCACTCACGCCGCCGTCTTTTGTTAATAAAGTTACCAAACATCGCATTAATGAGATAAAATAATGGTTTCCGCTAACTAGTTTTAGCTGTGGTAGAAACATTTGTGGCTCATCCACGTGTTTGGGGCCAGCAGCTAGGGGGTGAGGTGAGAGGCGCTGCCGCATACCTACCTGCCTGCATGGTTGGGTACAAGGCGAGGCGAGTCAGATAGCCCGCCGCCCGTGTAGTGAGTGTACCCTGGTCTGCACCTACAACACTACACCAACACAGTACACCTTGTGGGTTACTCCCCCCACCACTCTCCTACACGACACAATGACTCCTGTAAGTTTTGTTGTTGCTGTCGTTATGTAACACTGCTAACACGCCAGTCAACATCCGCAACAGAAGACTCCAGAGCGTTAAACCTGGAACCGAGGGCACCAAGGAGGGGAAGGAAGGAGGAGGAGGAAGGGGAGGAAGGAGGGAGGAAGGAAGGAAGGGGAGGAAGGAAGGAGGGGGGAGGAAGGAAGGAAGGAAGGAGGGGAGGAAGGAAGGGGAGGGAGGAGGGAGGAAGGAAGGGAGGAATGGGGAGGGGAAGGAAGGAATGGGGGAAGGGAGGAGGGAGGAGGGAGGAGGGGAGGGGAGGGGAGAGGGAGGGAGGGAGGGAGGGAGGAAGGAGGGAGGAGAGGGAAGGAGGAGGAGGAGGGGGGAGGAAGGAAGGAAGGAGGGAGAAGGAAGGGAGGGGAGGGAGGGGGAGGAAGGAAGGAAGGAATGGGGAGGAAGGAAGGAATGGGAAGGAGGGAGGGGAGGGAGGAGGGAGGGAGGGAGGAAGGAAGGAAGGAGGGAGGGAAGGGAGGAAGGAAGGAAGGAAGGAAGGAATGGGGAGGGAGGAAGGAACTTTCTTGTGGCGTTCCTCGTGAGTGACAATGTTTACGCCAGGTGGCCGCCTTCCTCCACCACACCCACCCTTTACTACCTCCTCCTCCACCCAACTACACTAACACACCTACCTCCACCACCCCAACCACACTGAAAGGCTACCACATTTAACACACACTAGGGATAACAACACGAGTATCTGGAATGAATAAACAATATATACACACATCCCATCAACCCACGCCCCCCACCTCCCCCCTCAACGACCTTTATTTCTGGGAGTGAAGAACGGAGGGGGGTGTGAGATACCTGACTGAGAGATGCTACAGCGGAAACGGGTGAGTGGGGGAGGAGTTACACTAGCGAGGAGCAGCACCAGACATTACCCGAGGAAGTCCAGTGATAAACAATAGTATGGGAACTTATACATAGCGGGATGGGTGGAGACCAGACCTCGAGGAACCACAATAACGAAGAGCTGAACTGTTGTGACGATGATAATAGTAATAACGATAAAGACCCGGGACGGAGAGAGAAAGATGGCAGAAAGATACAAGAAGGAATTAATTATAAAGGCCGGATGAAGATAACTCATCGAAGA